AACTTGATGAATATTGTAGTAGAAATCTAGAGGAAAGTTTTGATTGTAAAGTTGGTTTTCCTGAAGAAGTCATTCATACTGCAAAAAGGATTTATGACTGTCCACCACCAACTGCCGAGCTAATGTTGAGCTTCACAGATGGAATTACGCAAACACCATCAATGCCTATGTTTTCAGCAGAGAATTTTGAAATGAAGACACGTGACACAGCCATGCATTTTTATACCGGTTTAGAGTTGTATACTAAATTTTTATTTGTTTTGACCACACTTGGTCCAGCAGCACATTGTTTGAGATACATATATTTTCAAATTGATAGGGTGTCAGTTGAAAATCAGTTTTTTTATGACTTTGATGAAATTGAGGCATCATACAACCAACTTTGAACTGTCTAGATTCTAGATTGAATCTAGTGTTAAGAATATTGTGTATACATGGATTGTTTTTATGTCTAAACAGTGGTGTGAGGCTAACACTTGGCCATCTAGTGGTTTAGTCAGGTATTTTTCACCATCCAACTTCAAATTAAAATTTCCTACGACTTGGATTATTATTGACAGCACAGAATATCCCGTGATAAAACCTAAAGCTCCTAGAGCTCAGGCAACCTTTTCATCAAATAAAAACAGAAACACTGAAAATTCTTGAATGTTCGACACCTGGTGGTTTAGTCAACTATGTCTCTATGTCACATAGAGCGAATTATTAGACTTGGCAAAACATACAAAATTCTAATAAATCCTATGAATGGAACTGAAACAAAACTTTCATCTGAAATAACATTTAGTTGTTTTATGTTGTGTAATTTTAGAACTTGTATTGTGCCAAAGGATGCATAAATAAAAGTGACGCAATGAATTTTGTTCTGATATATATATATTTACAATTACATGCACATGTAAATTGTAATGCATATAAAAATAAGGAGATGTGGTATGATATTCAGTGAGTTTATCAAACTAAAGTGCATAAGAAATGGGTTTAAGCAGTTACAGGTGTTACTGTCACCGTACAATCTCCAACAATGAGAAAAACTCGTACCCTGTAAAAAATTTCAGAGATCTTACAACTAAGTTTTGTTGTCTCACCTTGACTTTGGTGATTTTTTTATATCTGTTAATGTAAATATAAAAAAGAAGATGTGGTATGATTGCCAATGAGACAACTCTCCACACATGCACAAGAGACCAAATGACACAGAAATAAACAGCTATAGGTCACAGTACGGCCTTCAACAATGAGCAAAGCCCATACCGCACAGTCAGCTATAAAAGGCCCAGAAATGACAATGTAAAACAATTCAAACAAGAAAACTAACAGCCTATTTTATGTAAAAAAATGAACAAATATAACAAATATGCAACACATAAACAAACGACAACCACTGAATTACACTTTTATAGGCTCCTGACTTGGGACAGGCACATACATGTACATACAGAATGTGGCGGGCTTAAACATGTTAGCGGGATCCCAACCCTCCCCCTAACCTGGGACAGTGGTGTAACAGTTCAATATAAGAAAGAACTATCAAAATCAGTTGAAAGAGGCTAAACTCATCAGATGGATAAATACAAATACAAGTGGACGTGGTCAGGTAGTTGTACATCCAAACAACAAAAAGACACTAAGTACAAATCTGAGAGTACTCGCAGTTACTGACAGCTAGTTCAAAGCCACTAACAACTGATAAAAAAATCTTGCATCTAAGACTAAATTATCAATCCGTAAGCTCCCTTTAGAATTTTATAATTTTAGATTTTACATTTCTGAGTTATGGGGTTTTATTCATTAAAAAAGGGGGGATTTTCCAGTTTTTGGACAACAACTCAAAAATGCTTTAAGCAGTTCACATGAAACTTTGGTGAATTATTTATAGCTATTGATGTAATCTCCCTATTGATTTTCATAAATTTCAAATATGACATTGAGAAGAAATTGAACTTTATTTGTTTATAGTCTGGCAACAGATTTATTAAGTATTGCACAACAGCATAGTGTATTGCACAACAGCAAGAAATCTTTAATTGAATATAAATTCAATTCATATAACCGATTTCAAGTTCATTGACTACATTTATTCAGAAACTATAATATGTCAAATATTTAATTACAATCCAAATTCAGACCTGTATCAAGCTTGAATATTGTGTCCATTTTTGCCCCAGCTGTTCAGGGTAGTACCTCTGCGGGTGTATCCAGCTGCGCTCAGCGAATCAGTTTATTTCTTAATTAAGAACTCCTTTTTATACGACCGCAAAAAAATTTTTGTGGTCGTATATTGGTATGACGTTAGCGTTGTCGTCGTCGTACGGCGTCGTCGTCCGAAGACACATTAGTTTTCGCACTCTAACTTTAGTTTAAGTGAATGGATCTCAATGAAATTTTAAAATAAGGTTCAATACTACAAAAGGAAAGTGGGGATTGATTTTGGGGGTTATGGTACCAACAGTTAAGGAATTAGGGGCCAAAAACAAGCATTTTCTAGTTTCATGACAATAACTTGTGTGCAAGTCTATGGATCTCTCTGACATTGTATCACAAGGTTCCATATCACAAAGGGAATGCTGGGATTGAATTTGGGGGTAATTGCCTCCAAATTTTAGGAATTAGGGGCCAAAAAGGGGAAAAAAACAAGCATTTTTCTAGTTTCATGGCAATAACTTGTGTGTAAGTGTATGGATCTTTATGAAATTGTACTACAAGGTTCCATATCACAAAGGGAAAGCTGGAATTGAGTTTTGGGGTAATTGCCCCAAAAGTTTAGGAATAAGGGGCCAAAAATAAGCATTTTTCTAGTTTCCAGACAATAACTTGTGTTCAGGTGTATGGATCTCTCTGAAATTGTACTGCAAGGTACCATACCACAAAGGGAATGCTGGGATTGATTTTGGGGGTAATTGCCTCCAAATTTTAGGAATTAGGGGCAAAAAACAATCATTTTTCTAGTTTCATGACAATAACTTGTATGTAAGTCTATGGATCTCTCTGACATTGTATCACATGGTTCCATATCACAAAGGGAATGCTGGGATTGATTTTGGGGGTAATTGCCTCCAAATTTTAGGAATTAGGGGCCAAAAAGGGGCAAAAAACAAGCATTTTTCTAGTTTCATGGCAATAACTTGTGTGTAAGTGTATGGATCTTTATGAAATTGCACTACAAGGTTCCATATCACAAAGGGAAAGCTGGGTTTGAGTTTTGGGGTAATTGCCCTAAACGTTTAGGAATTTGGGACCAAAAAGGGGCCAAAAAACAAGCATTTTTCTAGTTTCCAGACAATAACATGTGTTCAAGTGTATGGATCTCTCTGAAATTGTACTGCAAGGTACCATACCACAAAGGGAAGGCTGGGATTGAGTTTTGGGGTGATGAATCATAAGGGGGTTCAAAAAATTTGGGGGAGGGGATTCTTTTTCCTTTTTTTTCTTTAAAATTTTCCATTTTAAATTGGTTACTTCTGATTTATATATAAAAGCAAATAATAATGATATGGTTTGAATAGGTAAATTAAATTTTTTTAAGTATCTTAGACCACTTTCATTCTGTGTCAGAAACCTATGCTGTGTCAAATATTTAATTACAATCCAAATTCAGTGCTGAATCAAGCTTGAATGTTGTGTTCATACTTGCCCCAACTGTTCAGGGTTCGAACTCTGCGGTCGTATCAAGCTGCGCCCCAGCGGAGCATTTTATTTCATTCATAAATTACTTTATGCTTGGAAATATAATTTTGCTTGGAGTTGAAAGAGTTGACATGTTGCAATGTACATTTACTCTACATAGTTCTATGGTACCAAATCAAAAGTTTATATAAAGAAAGAAGTCAAAGGTTTCCCATCATAGTTTAGTTACATACATTTTTTTTGTACCTGAGGTCGTTGAATATAGATCATTATATAAATAAGGAGATGTGTTATGATTGCCAATGAAAAAACTAAGGATTTTCTTATCCAAGGAATAGATTACCTTAGCCGTATTTGGCACAACTTTTTGGTATTTTGGGTCCTCAATGCTCTTCAACTTTGTACTTGTTTGGCTTTGTTACTATTTTGATCTGAACGTCACTGATGAGTCTTATGTAGACGAAACACACGTCTGGCGTATTGAATTATAATCCTGGTACCTTTGATAACTAATTTGACTATAAACATAGATAAAAAAGGTACAAACTGGACATAATGCACTAGTTCATAAACAAGTGAGAACAATCGCCTTCATATAGTGCTCAGAATATGACATTCATAAAACTTATTCAATATCATTAGAGAACTCTAAATCTTAAATACTGAAAACCACCTCTGATAAGTACACTGTACTATGCAAGATAATGATATAACTGGACTTAAAATACACACAACCTGTAATTAACTGCCTTTACAGCGCTTTCGTGCTTTGATTTTTTTATTCCAGTCAGTCAACAAACATGGTAGCAATGGGTAAAAATAGAACATATGGCCAAAATTATTATTTGTCTTATACATGTATCTTGAAAACCATAAAACATGTGAATAGTGAAATCTGACAGGACAAAAATGCTCAGAAAGTCAAGATCTTCATACTTTTTTTTTCACCAAAATTTCATGGGTGCGTCTAAACACTGCTAAGGACTCCTTAGCGCACTAAGGACTTTTGATATGCCACTAAGAACCAGAAGGGGTGCTGTTACATGTAAACATTTTTCATATTATTGTAGAAATTTATACTTAATGCATAAATTCCAATTTTTTTTAGAAAAAGAATCACATATAAATGAGTAACTGAACAATGTTTAGGCAAGTGCAGGTTTTTCTTTAATATTGTAGAAAAAATCAGTGAACCGTGTCTAACATGTATGTACATGATATACATTTATGATGGCTTTCAGTCTAATTAAAGAAATTTGTCAGAGATATGATAAAATAATTGTATTAGTCAACAGGAAGGATTCATTCATATAATCAATGCTTCAATATATCAATCATATTGGTAAAATTTTAGTCTAAATTCTTTGTTTTAGATGTTATCTAATATAGACTGGAAGTGGCCTACACTAGGTGTGTTCCTGTTTCTAGTCTCTTTTGGTAATTTTGGTCTGTTATTGATTGTGTACTTCATGTGTATACTGGTGGGGTAAGTTATTTTATTTATTATATTATAGAAGTAGAAACAAGTTAATTTTATGTGTAATACTTTGATAACAATCGTTCTGTATCAATCATTCATGATGATATCAATATCAGTCATGGTTGCAAAGGCTTTATCATACCCCTAATCATCATCTCACTGCCTGAGATCACAAAAAATCACCTATTTGAGGTATATAATAAAGTGATTTAATTAATGCAGTGCTATTGCATGTTTTGATTTTGTAAAAGAATACAACAAAATGTAAAACCTAACTGTTGTTTTATAGGCAACAACTTCTTCACACTCAAACACCACTTCTTCATTGAATGCATTATGGTATCTTGAACTTGAATATGCATTCCATCTGTTATCATGTCCACATCAGCTTAGCATTCCTTTGTCAAGTTTACATACATCTGTCATGGTAATTCCCTAGGATAGTTTGGTTTTAGTTGCAATTCTTTTATGGTCCTTTGTGAGACAGCAAATTTATAGGAATACTTCACCAGTTTTGTATGTTATAATGAATTGATAGCGACTGCAAATGTTCCTTCAGATACATATGTACAGATTATAATTGATAATCTAGAGGACTGCTTCTATGAACACTAAGTATAAAAATAAGAAGATGTGGTATGATTGCCAATGAGACAACTCTCCAAAAGAGACCAAATGACATAGAAATTAACAACTAGAGGTCACTGTATGGCTTTCAACAATGAGCAAAACCCATACTGCATAGTAAGCTATAAAAGGCCACGAAATGACAAATGTAAAACAATTCAAATGAGAGAAGTAAGTCTGTCTTGGTCTTTCTGATAGATCTTTTGATTTGTAGTTACATTTACATGTGATGGTAAGTGAAGAGGACTACCTACGTGGACACTTGGGTCTGTCTTGATCTTTCTGTGAGATCTATTGATTCTAGTTACATGAGATAAAATTGAGAATGGAAATGGGGAATGTGTCAAAGAGACAACAACCCGACCATAGAGCAGACAACAGCAGAAGGCCACCAATGGGTCTTCAATGCAGCGAGAAACTCCGGCACCCCGAGGCGTCCTTCAGCTGGCCCCTAAACAAATATGTATACTAGTTCATTGATAATGGACGTCATACTAAACTCCCAAATTATACACAAGAAACTAAAATTAAAAATGATACAAGACTAACAAAGGCCGGAAGCTCCTGACTTGGGACAGGTGCAAAAATGCGGCGGGGTTAAACATGTTTATTGAGATCTTAACCCTCCCCCTATACCTCTAGCCAATGTAGAAAAAACAAACGCACAACAGTACGCACAGTAAAACTCAGTTTAAGAGAAGTCCGAGTACGATGTCAGAATAGGAAACAAAAGAAAATAAACAAAATGACAATAATACATAAATAACAACAGACTACTAGCAGTTACTGACATGCCAGCTCCAGACCTCAATTAAACTGATTGAAAGACTATGTCTTCATCATATGAATATCAGGCACAATCCCTCCTGTTAGGGTTTTAGTATTATACCATCATAAAATATATGAGAAGAATATAACCCGTGTCATGCCAACAACTGGTTTTAGAATAAATATGTTTAATTCCGATGCAAAGACCCTATAAGTGAATCAATATTAAAGCCAAAATATGCAATCTTTAATGACCTGACAATAGTATCGTAACTATATCCCTTCTTAATAAGTCTATTTAAAGGTTTTGTTAGCTTTTGAGGTGAATACTGACATTTTTGTGCTTTGTAAAGAATATTACCATAAAAGATTGGATGTGAAATACCCGCAAGTATAAGATGTCTGCATGTTGAGTTATATTTACGAAAAGATGTCCTTATACCGGTGATAAAATTTAGTAAATGTTTTGACTAGTTTATGATATCGAAAACCCTGGTGTAATAATTTTTCAGTAATACATAAGTTTCTCTCGCTAAAATCTAATATGTTGTTACATACACGAGCGAATCGTACAAGTTGAGATATATAAACACCATAAGATGGTGACAAGGGAACGTCACCATCTAAAAATGGATAATTAACGATAGGAAATGAAAAATCACCTCTTATATCATAAATTTTTGTATTAAGCTTCCCGTTAATGATATAGATATCAAGATCGAGGAAAGGACAGTGGTCATTGTTAGTATGTCCAGATATAGAGATCATGCCTGCTTATACTACCGGTATATTTTTACCAGTATTTTATATATTCTAGCAAATTTGATTTGTTCAGAATGAGTCACATGTTAAACTAACAGGCTATTATTTGAACTTGGAATTATTTTTAATTATGGAATTTGCATAATTTCTTGTACTAGGAAATTTTTAATAAATTCCATGTTTATTCTGTACTTGAATGTTTTGTGCTGCGCACAACACTTTCTATTACAAAGAAGATAGTACATTTTCAGTAGAATGTACTGTGCCGCGCACAACACTATCTATACAAATACATTTTATGGAAAGTGTTATGAACTGCTCAAAACATTATAATACCAAATAAACATGGAATTTATTAAAAATTTCAAGCACAAGAAATTATGCAAATTCCATAATTAAAAATAATTCCAAGTTCAAATAATAGCCTGTTAACTGTTTAAAATATCTAATAATTGAAATATAAAATCCTCAATCCAATGTGACACAATCATAACAACCAATCAGATGAATTTCAGCTCTATTTCAGACGCATTGAAAATAATAATATAACAATTGTAGCATTTGTATGAGGTCTTCAGTTGATATACTTCTTTCAGGTCGATATATCCTCATATGGACCTCATACAAAGGCTATAATTGTATAATGTCAGCTGCGGTAGTTGTGGATAACAACAAATGATCTTGTGCAATAGCCACAGCAAATTATAAGTGTCTAAAATCCAAAGAGAAAAGAAATACATTTATGTGGATGAATTTTTATACGACTGCAAAAAAATTTTTGTGGTCGTATATTGGTATGACGTTGGCGTCGTCGTCGTCATCCGAAGACACATTAGTTTTCGCAATCTAACTTTAGTTTAAGTAAATGGATCTCAATGAAATTTTACCATAAGGTTCAATACCACAAAAGGAAGGTGGGGATTGATTTTGGGGGTTATGGTACCCACAGTTAAGGAATTAGGGGCCAAAAAGGGGCCAAAATTAAGCATTTTTGTAGCTTCCAGACATAACTTGTGTGTAAGTGTATGGATCTCTCTGACATTGTACCACAAGGTTCCATATCACAAAGGGAATGCTGGGATTGATTTTGGGGGTAATTGCCTCAAAATTTTAGGAATTAGGTGCCAAAAAGGGGCAATAAACAAGCATTTTTCTAGTTTCATGACAATAACTTGTGTGTAAGTGTATGAATCTCTCTGACATTGTATCACAAGGTTCCATATCACAAAGGGAATGCTTGGATTGATTTGGGGGGTAATTGCCTCAAAATTTAAGGAATTAGGGGCAAAAAAGGGGCAAAAAACAAGCATTTTTCTAGTTTCATGACAATAACTTGTGTGTAAGTGTATGGATCTTTATGAAATTGTACTACAAGGTTCCATATCACAAAGGGAAAGCTGGAATTGAGTTTGGGGGTAATTGCCCAAAAAGTGTAGGAAAAAGGGGCCAAAAATAAGCATGTTTCTAGTTTCCAGACAATAACTTGTGTTCAAATGTATGGATCTCTCTGAAATTGTACTGCAAGGTACCATACCATAAAGGGAAGGCTGGGATTGATTTTGGGGGTAATTCCCTCAAAATTTTAGTAATTAGGGGCCATAAAAGGGCAAAAAAAACAAGCATTTTCTAGTTTCAGGACAATAACTTGTGTGTAAGTGTATGGATCTTTATGAAATTGTACTGCAAGGTTCCATATCACAAAGGGAAAGCTGGGTTTGAGTTTGGGGGTAATTGCCCTAAACGTTTAGGAATTTGGGCCCAAAAAGGGGCATAAAAACAAGCATTTTTCTAGAACGAGACAATAACTTGTGTTCAAGTGTATGGATCTCTCTGAAATTGTACTGCAAGGTACCATACCACAAAGGGAAAGCTGGGATTGAGTTTGGGGGTGATGAATCATAAGGGGGTTCAAAAAATATGGGGGGATTTTTTTTATCCTTTTTATACGACCGCAAAAAAATTTTGAGGTCGTATATTGGTATGACGTTGGCGTCGTCGTCATCGTCGTCGTCGTCGTCGTCGTCCGGCGTCGTCGTCCGAATACATAATGGTTTTCGCACTCTAACTTTAGTTTAAGTGAATGGATCTCTATGAAATTTTACCATAAGGTTCAATACCACAATAGGAAGGTGGGGATTGATTTTGGGGGTTATGGTACCAACAGTTAAGGAATTAGGGGCAAAAAGGGGCCGAAAATAAGCATTTTTGTAACTTCCAGACATAACTTGTGTGTTAGCATATGGATCTCTTTGACATTGTACCACAAGATTCCATATCACAAAGGGTCAATGCTGGGATTGATTTTGGGGTTAATTGCCTCAAAATTTTAGGAATAAGGGGCCAAAAGGGGGCAAAAAACAAGCATTTTTCTAGTTTCATGACAATAACTTGTGTGTAAGTGTATGGATCTTTCTGAAATTTTACTACAAGGTTCCATTTCACAAAGGGAAAGCTGGAATTGAGTGTTGTGGTAATTGCCCAAAACGTTTAGTAATAAGGGGCCTAAAAAGGGGTTTAAAATAAGCATTTTTTAGTTTCTAGACAATAACTTGTGTTCAAGTGTATGGATCTCTCTAAAATTGTATTACAAGGTACCATACCACAAAGGCAAGGCTGTTATTGAGCTTGGTTTGGGGGGAAAGGGGGGTGGGGGTGATGAATCATAAGGGGGGCGGGGGTCAAAAAAGGGGTAATTTTTTTTTTTCCTTTTTTTTTTGTTTAAAATTTACATTTTAAGTTGGTTATTTTTTATCACGAAGAGAAAGTAGGAATTGAGTTTTGGGGTTAATTGCTCAAACATTTATGAATAAGGGGCCAAATATTGGTCGAAAATAAGGATTTTTTTAGTGTGCTCTAATGTTTAAGGAATAAGGGGAAAAAAGGTTAAAAAACAAGGGTTTCCATTTTAATAGACAAATAATTGAGTAAAGAACATTATTTAAAAGCAGTGTAAGGTTGGTAATTCAAACTCATTTAAATATCTCATCTACACTGCTTTTAAATTATGTAAATTGGAAATTTGCCAATAACTTTATTGTTAATAAATGCATTGGAAATTTGCCAACAATTTTAGTGTAATAAACTTCATTGGAAATTTGCCAATATAAAATTTTGCTGATGAAGGTTTTTTGTTTACCTTTAGCCTTGACTATGAAGTCATTTTCTATTTTTATAGCCTTATGATGTAGTTGAATTATTTAATACTTTTATGATGTGTTTAAATGGGGTTTTATCATGTTTATGGTTGCAAATTTATTGTTTTAGTATAATAATCTCCATTTAAAATTTGCCAATAAAAAAAAATTTTGTTTATTTTTAGCTATGATTATGATGTCATTTTCTATTTTACTTTTATGGTTGCAAAGAAATTTTTATTTTTAGATATTACTGTTAAATGATGCTGATTAAGGTTTTTGCTATGTTTAGCCATGACTATGATGTCATTTTCTATTTTAATATCTGTTATGATGTATTTAAATGGGCTTTTATGGTTACAAAGGAATTTTATTTTTAGATATTACTATAAAATGTTGCTGATGCTGATTAAGGATTTTGTTTATTTTTAGCCATGACTATGATGTCATTTTCTATTTTAATACCTTTATGATGTAATTTCCATTTTTAGATATTACTGTTAAATGATGCTGATTAAGGGTTTTTTGCTATGTTTAGCCATGACTATGATGTCATGTTCTATTTTAATATCTTTATGATGTATTTAAATGGGCTTATATGGTTACAAAGGAATTTTATTTTTAGATATTACTTTAAATGTTGCTGATTAAGGATTTTTGTTTATTTTTAGCCATGACTATGATGTCACTTTCTATTTTAATACCTTTATGATGTATTTAAATGGGCTCCCATGTATTTAGATTTTTGATTATTTATACATGTTACCAAATTGGTCCACATTGAACAAAAACTGTCCAAATTTCAACTTTATTACATTACATCAAACATTGAATTCTACATATTCTTTGATATATTGAAATTAACAAACAATTTAGTTTATGGAGATTCCACCATAATAGGTAAATTAAATTTTTTCCAGTTCTTACACCACATTCATCCTGTGTCAGAAACCTATGCTGTGTCAAATATTTAATGACAATCCAAAGTCATAGCTGTATCAAGCTTGAATTTTGTGTCCATACTTGCCCCAACTGTTCAGGGTTCGACCTCTGCGGTCGTATCAAGCTGCGCCCCAGCGAAGCATTTTATTTTTCTTTAAAATTTTCCATTTTAAATTGGTTATTTCTGATTTATATATTAAAGCAAATAATAATGCTATGATTTGAATAGGTAAATTAAAAAAATTAAATCTCTATTAAAAAAATTAAATCTATATTAAAAAAAATAAAATAGTAAAAAAAAAATGTTCACCCCATTGCCCGTAATATTTGATTGATTGTTAGTTGCTTAACATGTAGTTAGGTATATTACATTAAAGTCATATACACTGTATAATATGATAAACCTAGAAGCCTACTGAAGACATAAAAGTACTCATGCTAGGACTATGTTACGAATATCAACCATTAAATATTTCAGTATGCTACTTATTATTTGAATGCAAGGAACTATATCTTTTTCTTCACATTCCAATTTGCTATGATGCAACGTCATCGACTAAGTCTTGACAACACCTATTGTTGTTTGACGGCAGAGGAGTGAAATTATCAAGTTTGTTTCACATGTGAAATTAGTGGTTTTTATTTCACTTGGAAATTACGGTTATTCATAGCAACCAATGCAATAACAGCCGTTCCATATTTCAGTAATCTACTTATTAGTTTTTCTGTGCTCATTGGCTATCTCAAGAAAAAACTTGACATTGTCAACCTAACCTAAATATATACCTTTTAAACTTGATCCTATAATTTATCAGTGATATGATAGAGATAATATTTTGTCACCTCCTGATACCAAACTGATTAACTTACTTTCATTATATGGATCAAATATAATACAAAAAAATTTTTGTGTGACAAAATATACATTTGTGTACATATCAATTTAAGCCAGTGATTTTCAAAGCTTAACAAATTCCAAATTTGAAGGTTATGAACTTCAAACTTTTGACACATTCATGTTTTGGTAATCCTCAGTTATGATAGTCCTTGCAAAAAATATCTTTTAATGACCTCTTTGCAGAAATAGATAAATATTAAATCCCATACAGCATGTTGTAGACATTCCATGATATGAATTTTAGGGAAGATTGCATTCCATCTATGTTAATCTATGTTAATCTACCAAATTGCTTTGTTCTTCATTCATACCCTTATCAAAATATCTTTCAACTTGTCAAATAAACTGAAAAACTAAACTTTCCAATTATTGAACATAACTGAAAACTAACTTTTTACATCAATTGGTTATAACTATAATGACACTGCTGTATATGAAATGACATATTTGGTAATCTCTGATAAATGGATCTATTATATTTGGTCTCTGGTGGAGAGTTGTCTCATTGGCAATCATATCACATCCTCTTATTGTTACATTGCTCAAATTGTATTAGCTCACCTGGCCCCATAAACAACCAAAATTTATCAACAATACTAGATCTAAAAAAATACCAAATAACTGAAATTATTAATTGACTGCTTATAGAAGTTATTGCCCTTGAATGGTGATTTTTGTCGAGCCTTCGACTTTTGTCGAAAAAGCGAGACATAGTGATCCTACATTCCGTCGGCGTCATCGTTGTCGGCGGCGGCAACCACAAATATTCACTCTGTGGTTAAAGTTTTTGAAATTTTAATAACTTTCTTAAACTATCCTGGATTTCTACCAAACTTTGACAGAAGCTTGTTTATGATCATAAGATAGTATCCAGAAGTAAATTTTGTAAAAAAAAATTCCTGTTTTTCCGTATTTTACTTATAAATGGACTTATTTTTTCTGCCAGGAAACATTACATTCACTCTGTGGTTAAAGTTTTTAAAATTTTAATAACTTTCTTAAACTATCCTGGATTTGTACCAAACATGGACAGAAGCTTGTTTATGATCAAAAGCTAGTATCTAGAAGGAAATTTTGTAAAAAAAAATTTCCTGTTTTTCCGTATATTACTTATAAATGGACTTAGTTTTTCTTCCAGTTAACATTACATACAGTCTGCAGTTAAAGTTTTTAAAACATTTATTAGATTCATAAACTATCCTGGATTTTAAACTTGGACAGAAGCTTCTTACAATAAAAAAATTGTATCGAGAGGAATATTTTTATTAAATTTTTTCCTCATCTCATTTTTGTTGAGCCTGCGATTAGCAGCAAGAGTAGGCGAGACACTGGGTTCCGCGGAACCCTTACGAATTTTTCTTTTACCTATGTACCTTTTATGTTTATTATCTCTAAAACTATAACCATAATAATTGATAATGATCATTAAGGCAAGATCTACAAATAGTCACATTACTGAAACTATCAATTTACTGCTTTTAGTAGTTATTGCCCTTGAACAATGCTTTTGTTCTTTACCAATTTACCTTTTATGTTTTATTATCTTTAAAACTGTAACCATAATAAATGAGGCAAGATCTACAAAATAAGTCGCATTACTGAAACTCAATTGACCATTTATTGGAGTTATTGCCAATTAATGATGACTTTTATTAAGTTTTTATATATCATGTGGAATTGTTTACAAGCAAATTGATATCATTTTAGCAGTATCAAATTTTGTAATGACTGCTTAGTGAAGGGCCATTTGATTTTTGCAGTGGAGTGAGGCCCGTGAGGGCTTTTATGAATTTGATAAATATTTTAGCCTTTTAATTAGTTGTTTATGTACTTTTTCATGGATTAAACTTCTGAAGGATTATTTAACTTGCATTGAAAGACTAATTTGAGCATGTTGATTTCAGAGGTTTGGTGATTGCTGTATATCATGGAAGACAACTTTCCATGCAGACACAGAAAACAGACTTTCCAGAGTTACCAAAACCACAGCTAGGCGTCATGAAGGTAAGTATAACATTTGTGTGAAGATACTTTGTCTAGAATCAGTGTTTGTTCATCAAACGGTCTTACACTTTTATAAGCCCGTTTATAGGACGTATTATGGTAAACCGTTGTAACTGTCCGTCCGTCGTCAACATGTCGGACAATAACTCAAATATGCTTTAACCAATTTGCATGAAACTTTGGTGAATTGTTTATATCTATTGATGTGAGCTGCCTTTCGATTTTTATAAATTTTAGATTTTACGTTTCCGAGTTATGGGGTTTTATTCATTAAAAAGGGGGATTTTCCAGTTTTCATACAAATAACTCAAAAACACTTTCACCTATTTGCAAGAAACTTTGGTGAATTGTTTATATCTATTGACATGAGCTCCCTTTCAATTTTTATGAATTTTAGATTTTACGCTTCCGAGTTATAAGGTTTTATGCATTAAAAAGGGGAGATTTTCCAGGTTTCGGACAATAACTCAAAAATGCTTTGAGCGGTTTTCATGAAACTTTGGTGAATTGTTTATATATATTGAAGCAAGCTCATTTTGGATTTTTATAAATTTCAGATTTTACGTTTCCGAGTTATTGGGTTTTATGCATTAAAAAGGGGAGATTTTCCAGTTTTCAGACAATATCTTTAAAGTGCTTTGAGGAGTTTTGATGAAACTTTGGTGACTTTTGTGTTCTAAAGTCAGTGTGTATCCATGCTAAAGTCAGTTATATCCATGCTAAAATCAGTGTGTATCCATGCTAAAGTCTATGTGTATCCATGCTAAAGTCAGTGTGTATCCATGCTAAAGTCAGTGTGTATCCATGCTAAAGTCAGTGTGTATCCATGCTAAAGTCAGTGTATATCCATGCTAAAGTCAGTGTGTATCCATGCTAAAGTCAGTGTGTATCCATGCTAAAGTCTGTGTGTATCCATGCACAAATCTGTGTGTATCCATGCTAAAGTCTGTGTGTATCCATGCTTTTTGCAAAGCAATTAGGTGAATCTCTTCAGACAGATTAAGATTATTTTTTTTAATGTTCCTAATTTAATTCTTGTTACTGTCAAATAGTTTAGAGACATGCCTTATAGTTATTTTTAGTCTGGAGAGTTCAAGATTAATTCAGTTGAATTATTGAAGTGTTATGAAAACATTATTTCTCATATTTAAATCAGATTATGAAAACCATGGAAAACATAACAAAGATAAAGAACTTTGACAAGAGAATGACAGGAGCAAGTGTTATAGATGAGGTGCTACAAGAGGTTAGTAGTTATTGTTATACATTCTCATGTTATATGATGAAGGGATGTTTTCAGACAGCCTCTGATACCATTTTATTTATAAGCTAACAGATCATGTGTACCAGTTAAATGACTCACATGCTTCAAATATCAAGGAATAAGAAACAGGATTCTTTCACAATGGTGGTGGGGATAACTGTGTACACCTCATTTTCATGGTTTATTGGACAAAGTTAGGTTTTTGTGATTGGGTTCATTTTTCTAAAACAATAACAATAAGTCAATAAGTCAACAAGATTTGGTGTATAGAGTGATTGTAAAGTGTACATATCGGTTAATCTGAGACTTTTACCTCATTTTTATACGACCGCAAAAAAATTTTTGTGGTCGTATATTGGTATGACGTTGGCGTCGTCGTCGTCGGCGTCGTCCGGCATCGTCCGAAGACACATTGGTTTTCGCACTCTAACTTTAGTTTAAGTGAATGGATCTCTATGAAATTTTACCACAAGGTTTAATACCACAAAAGGAAGGTTGGGATTGATTTTGGGGGTTATGGTACCAACAGTAAAGGAATTAGGGGCCAAAAAGGGGCCTAAAATAAGCATTTTTGTAACTTCCAGACATAACTTGTGTGTTAGTGTATGGATCTCTCTGACATTGTACCACAAGGTTCCATATCACAAAAGGAATGCTGGGATTGATGATGGGGGTAATTGCCTCAATATTTTAGGAATTAAAGGCCAAAAAGGGGCAAAAAACAAGCATTTTTCTAGTTTCAGGACAATAACTTGTGTGTAAGTGTATGGATCTTTCTGAAATTGTACTACAAGGTTCCATATCACAAAGGGAAAGCTGGGTTTGAGTTTGGGGGTAATTGCCCTAAACGTTTAGGAATTTGGGGCCAAAAAGGGGCCAAAAAACACATTTTCCTAGTTTCCAGACAATAACTTGTGTTCAAGTGTATGGATCTCTCTGAAATTGTACTGCAAGGTACCATACCACAAAGGGAAGGCTGGGATTAAGTTTGGGGGTGATGAATCATAAGGGGGTTCAAAAAATTGGGGGGGGGGGGATTTTTTTTTTCTTCCTTTTTTTTCTTTTTTTCCTTTTTTTTTTCTTTTAAAATTTTCCATTTTAAGTTGGTTATTTCTGATTTATATTTAAAAGCAAATAATAATGATATGGTAGGAGATACACACCAAACAGGATGTGTAAATTATTATATAATAAGTATTGTGCAATAGCAAGAAATTTTCAATTGCACAGTATTGCACAATAGCAAGAAATCTTCAATTGCACAGTATTGCGCAATAGCAAGAAATCTTCAATTGCACAGTATTGCGCAATAGCAAGAAATATCAAATAGCACAATATTGCGCAATAGCAAGAAATTGTCAATTGTACAGTATTGCACAATAGCAAGAAATATTTAATTGCACAGTATTGTGCAAAAGAAGATACTTCGTATAAATTGCTTATTTCTTGACCAATTTCAATGGGGTTTTATTCTTGAATTTTTGGGGTTCTTTAATATGCTGAATCTAACCGTGTATTTAGTTTTTGGATTTTGGGCCCCGTTTTTAAATTGGTCCACATTGAGGTCCAAAGGGTCCAAAATTAAACTTTGTTTGATTTCATCAAAAATTGAATTATTGGGGTTCTTTGATATGCCGAATCTAACCGTGTATTTAGATTCTTAATTTTTGGTTCCGTTTTCAAATTGGTCTACATTAATGTCCAAAGGGTCCAAAATTAAACTTAGTTTGATTTTAACAAAAATTGAATTAGGGTTCTTTGATATGCTGAATCTAAACATGTATTTAGATTTTTGATTATGGGCCCAGTTTTCAAGTTGGTCCAAATCGGGGTCCAAAATTAAACTTTGTTTGATTTCAACAAAAATTGAATATATGGGGTTCTTTGATATGCTGAATCTAACCATGTATTTAGATTTTTGATTTTTGGGCCCCGTTATCAACTTTGTCCACATTGAGGTCAAAAGGGTCCAAAATTAAACTTTGTTTGATTTCATCAAAAATTGAATTCTTGGGGCTCTTTGATATTCCAAATCTAACCGTGTATTTAGATTTTTAATTTTGGGTCCTGTTTTTAAATTGATCTACATTAAGGTCCAAAGGGTCCAAAATAAAACTTAGTTTGATTTTAACAAAAATTGAATTCTTGGGGTTCTTTGATATGCTGAATCTAAACATGTGTTTAGATTTTTGATTATGGGCCCAGTTTTCAAGTTGGTCCAAGATAGGGTCCAGTATTTGAACTTTGTTTGATTTCAACAAAAATTGAATATATGGGGTTCTTTGATATGCTGAATCTAAACATGTATTTAGATTTTTGATTATGGGCCCAGTTTTCAAGTTGGTCCAAATTGGGGTCCAAAATTAAACTTTGTTTGATTTCAACAAAAATTGAATATATGAGGTTCTTTGATATGCTGAATCTAACCATGTATTTAGATTTTTTATTTGTAGGCCCCGCTATCAAATTGGTTCATATTGAGGTCAAAAGGGTCCAAAATTAAACTTTGTTTGATTTCATCAAAAATTGAATTATTGGGGTTCTTTGATATGCCAAATCTAACCGTGTTTTTAGATGTTTAATTTGAGTCCCGTTTTTTAAATTGGTCTTCATTGAGGTCCAAAGGGTCCAAAATTAAACTTAATTTGATTTTAACAAAAATTGAATTCTTGGGGTTCTTTGATATGCTGAATCTAAACATGTGTTTAGATTTTTGATTATGGGCCCAGTTTTCAAGTTGGTCCAAGTTGGGGTCCAAAATTAAACTTTTTTTAATTTCAACAAAAATTGAATATATGGGGTTCTTTGATATGCTGAATCTAACCATGAATTTAGATTTTTTATTTGTGGGCCCCGCTATCAAATTGGTTCATATTGAGGTCAAAAGGGTCCAAAATTAAACTTTGTTTGATTTCATCAAAAATTGAATTATTTGGGTTCTTTGATATTCCAAATCTAACCGTGTATTTAGAATTTTAATTTTAAGTCCCGTTTTTTAAATTGATCTACATTAAGGTCCAAAGGGTCCAAAATTAAACTTTGTTTTGATTTTAACAAAAATTGAATATATGGGGTTCTTTGATATGCTGAATCTAACCATGTATTTTGATTTTGGACATTGGACCATAATAGGTAAATTAAAAAAATTCAAGTTCTTAGACCACATTCTTTCTGTGTCAGAAACCTATGCTGTGTCAAATATTTAATAACAATCCAAATTCAGAGCTGTATCAAGCTTGAATGTTGTGTCCATACTTGCCCCAACTGTTCAGGGTTCGACCTCTGCGGTCGTATCAAGCTGCGCCCCAGCGAAGCATTTTATTATTGTGTATTGTTCAACTTTTAATTTCATGATTTTGTCCATTTGTCAGGAACAATAAGTTATAAGTCAACTAGATGTTGTGTATGGAATTATTATAAGGTGTTAATGTCTGCCTGGCAGTAATGCTATAAGAGATTATTCATAAGTACTGATTTATTTACTAGTATTGAGGCATGCCCTAAATAATACTCAAGTTTTGAGTAATTGTCCCCCGCGCAAAGTGTTGCGGGGAACATAGAAACACCTGGCGTCCTTCCGTCTGTCCGTTCATCCGTCCAATCTTGTTAACGCTCTCACGTGAACAATTCTTGCCAGATTTTTATAAAACTTATATCATAGTTTAATATCAGCCATATCTTGGACAAGTTCGAAAATCAGTGCTGATCAATTATATTTTAAAAGAGTTATGCCCCTTGGAAATATTAATTATATGGAAAATTGCCTTATGAGCGCTCTAATGTTTACAATTCTTGCCAGATTTTTATGAAATTTATATTATAGGTTTATATCATCAATGTCTTTGACGAGTTAAAAAATCAGTACTGATCAATTATTTTTTTTAAAGTTAGGCCCCTTTGAAATATTGATTATATGGAAAATTGCATTGTCAGCGTTCTCATGTGTACAATTACTGCCAGAATTTTATGAAACTTATATCATAGGTTTATATCAGCAATGTATTTGAGGTTTTCGAAAATAAGTGCTGATCAAATATTTTTAACGAGTTATGCCCCTTAAATATATTAATTATAATGGAAATCACATTGCATTTGCTCTGAAGCCTTCATTTCTCTCATATATAATATATTTATAAAAAGTTTTAAAGAACAAAAAAAAGTGCTTTTTTTTAGTTATTACCCTTGTCCCTTGGATAGATGAAATATGTGCAACGTGGGGGGACATTGGAACTCTGTTCTTTTAATTACATGTATCGAGACTTGCTCCTAGATACTCATCTTCGCTAGCCAAGCGTTACGATCCACTTAATTCCCTCCTCTCCACCCTTGGCAGATTAAGCCAACATTTGCGATAACAATGTTGCGCCATCTATCGGTAGATTAAAGTCACGCCCATTCCGAATACATTATTCTTGACCAATGGTAGCACTTGAACTCTTCAATTTGGAGGTAAAAACACGGTAGCGTCTAGAATCTACACACTTGGTAAAGCAGGAAACAAAAATATACATTGACATTCATGCATTTGTGCAAGAAACATACACAGGAACTTCTATTAGTTGATTAAAAACATTCAAATTGTCACTAAATATAGTCGTATGTTTAGGGATGTAAAGACTTGTTGCACAATAAGCACATGGCAATTGTTTACATACACTTTCTACATTTACATGTGATCATGTTATAGGCGCTTTTTGATTGGATGCAGAGAGTTTCTACTGCAACCAATGAAAATCATTACCTTGTGTCTCCGAAATTCTATCTCAATCCGCCAAGGGTGAAAGGAGGGCAGTGGCTCGTAACCCTTGGCCAGCGAAGATGTTAGATACTACACTAGTTTGGATTTATTTTCATGTATTGAGACATGCCCTCAGAGACTTAAGGCTTAGATACTACACAAATTTTGATTTATTTAGCAGGTATTGAGAACTATTCAAGTTTTGATTTATTTACAAGTATTAAGACATGTCTTTACATGCTTGTAAAGTTTTGTTTTATTTTTACAGGTATTGAGACATGCTTTTAGAGACTATATCAAAGCCTGGTATAGACAAATTAGTGACCATGATGGTTTTTTGTTGGATATCAGACAGACTGTACAAAAAGTTGCAATAACGTTTGCTACAAGGTATTTAGTATTTTGATTTCCATTTCTATTATAAACAAGGGTCCTGAAATTTTGGCTTTCTTTTGCTGTCTTTTAAGTCAGGCAATTAATTTTTCAAACTCTCAAATTCATGCCAGAAGTCACAGCAAAAACAAACCTGTTTGAAGCATGCATTACATGAACTTTTCATATAGGTTTCAGTGAAAATGTTTTAAGTAAAGATTGGTGGATTGCATCAGCTGAAAATTGAAATAATCTAAATGAATTGAAATTGCAAATTCCTAAGGATCATGCATCTTTCAATTTTGAGACCGTGATATAAATATTTGTATATCCAGAAGTTTTAACTGGATTATAAATTACAAATTCTTCAGATTGGATGCTCGGCTTCTTCTGATTATCTTGTGGAAGTGGATCATAGAACTTTAAATTTCATATAAAAATAAGATGTGGTTTGATTGCCAATGAGACAACTATCCACCCGTGTTCAAATGAAGGGGATGTAAGCAATTAAAGGCAACCGTACAGCCTTCAAAGAGGAGAAAAACTCATACCATAAAGTCCTATAGTCATACTAGTCGAAGTGTTTTAAGATGACTGAAAATTATTTTCTTTGTGTAAATGAAATTATTAAATATTTAACGATTAAGTTTTAAATCATATGCTTATAAATCAGGCAAACTCTCGTGCATGTATATTGTGTATTGAAAAAGCACTGATATGACATATATGTAATGAAATTAAAAGTTTTAATTTTTATGCCCCATTTATGGGCATTATATTTTTCGGTCTGTGCGTCCGTTCGTTCGTTCGTCCGTCTGTACGTCCGTCTGTCCCGCTTCAGGTTAAAGTTTTTGGTCAAGGTAGTTTTTTGATGAAGTTGAAGTCCAATCAACTTCAAACTTAGTACACATGTTCCCTATGATATGATCTTTCTAATTTTAATGCCAAATTAGAGTTTTGACCCCAATTTCACGGTCCACTGAACATAGAAAATGATAGTGCAAGTGGGGCATCCGTGTACTATGGACACATTCTTGTTAAACCTAAATTGTTGTTAACCATATCTGAAAATTTATTGAATGATGAATTGAATTGTCATTGTGAATGCGTGTAAAACTTATTAGTGATTCAGTCATTTTCATTTAGAACTGACTGTTCTGGTTCCTTGTCGATCTAAAATATAGCTTTCACCAGCAACTGAGGTAATGAGACAGGTAATGAGACATGGGTAAAACTTTCTTGCAGCGGCATGCATTTGCACTATATTGACATATGTTTTATAAAAAAGGATGATTTTATTATTTTATGATTTGTGTTTGTAGATCAAAAGAAGTGGATTGGATGCCGTACTTCACACAACGATTAGTTGTGATTTTATTATTTGTGTTTATGTTTGTAGATCAAAAGAAGTGGATTGGATGCCGTACTTCACACAACGATTAGTTGATGATTTTGCTTCACATATCAAACTATACAGACGAGCAACAGATAGAGTCAATATGTCTTCTAAGGACGGTATGGTTTATACTATTTATACATTCATTGACATTTTGAATAACTTATAAAATTGAGAATGGAAATGAGGAATGTGTCAAAGAGACAATAACCCGACCGAAGAGCAGAAAACAGCCAAAGGCCACCAATGGGTCTTCAACACAGCGGGAAAATCCCGCACCCACCATGCATGCTTCAGCTGGCCCCTAAACAAAAATGTGTACTAGTTCAGTGAAAATAGACATTATACTAAACTCCAAAACATATAAATGAACTAAAATTAAAAAACAAACGGTTCTAACAAAGGCCAGAGGCTCCTGGCTTGGGACAGGCGCAAAAATGCGGCAGGGTTAAACATGTTTTGTGAGATCTCAACCCTCCACCTATACCTCTAGCCAATGTAGAATAAACAAACACACAGCAATACACAGAGGAAAATGATGCTCTTAAGGTTCTGCGATTGCATTCAACAACAAATTGCAGTTTCTTAAAACATTTTGTTAAGTTGAAACAGCTGTATACTTTGAGGGCACACAATTTATTATAATATTAAAGCAAAATGATAGAATATAATATTTGTTTTCATATAGGATATTTGCTGTTAATTTCCACTGCAATACACTTCTATAAATAAGAAATGTCTATTTCAGCTGGCTATGAAGAACATGTGGTGTCAGAATTCTTTGACCTTGAACTTGAAATGGAGAAAAACATGTGTAGAGATGTAGTGTGCTTAGATCCAGATTCTGAAAGACGTATGTTTTACATGAATACTTTTAAAATCAGTAAAATTTGTTTTTATACTTTTGCAAAACTTGTAACTTCTGAGTGTAGAAATATGATGTTTTAAAACTTTATTGTCTGATAAGATACCTTAATGTTAGAAATTTGGCAAGTTTCTTCTATAATTTTATTGATGAAGTGGATAATTATCAAAATATGAAATGAGAAAATTTTCTTTATTTGCATAAATTGTTGATAAGTATAATTCTGCTCAATGATGTTTCTTCTCAATTCAGTAATTGTTTGTTTTTAACTCTATAGGTTCAAATTATAAGTTTGAGCTATGATGATTGTCATTCATTATCAGCATCAAAGATCTGTCTTCCATTATTTGTTGTAAACCTATTAATAAACATTTTTCTATGCAAAAGTTTTGTTAATTGGTACCAAAGTTGCATCATCGCTAAGGGTCTACTTTACAAGTTATGTCTGATGACCCCATTGTCAAAGCAATATTGAAACTATTACTAGAAATAAAACATGACGGTAAAATTAATCAAATAAAATCATTTAAGGAAAAAATGTAAAGGAGGATTTACCATTTAACTTTTAGAAAATGAGATAATTTAAATTTAAATATTTAGAAAAATGGTTGAGGGTATTGACTGCCTTCAAACTTGGCCTCCATTATTACAAAAAAAAAGAAAAAATATATAATTGAAAAATTCAGAAAAATCCTACGAAGGACCAATTGCTAACCAGCTTTGGATAAATAATGGATTGATAATCCCCTTTTTCCTTTATTTATGTTTGTTGACCACATCCCCATTAAACCACAGCTGCTTTGTTGAAAAACATTAACTTATGAAAAGTTCAATAAAAAATTCTTAAAAATTATATGAAGAACAATTTATCTATAAAAATATGGTCCAATAATACATTTATAGTCCTCATTGCAAAACTGGGTACTCCAATAGCCCAAAGTATATTCCAACCCAATTTTTAAATGCATTGAACATTTACTGCCAATCCAGCATAGGGCCAGCTTATTGCTGAAAAACTTTAGGTAATTGACTATGTTTATTATGGTGGCAAATGTTGATATTAGGCATAGATCCAGGTGAGAGATACATACTCTTTAGATACTCTAGTTCTCTTTTCATGGTGGATAAGGCGTATACGATTTAGATTAAAATAATAAAACCATATCATTGACATATTTGTTTGGCAAATGTCAGTTTTCCTTGAAGTCATTTTCATGGTTCAATGACTGAAATCCTTGTTAAGTTTTCCTGATTATGTCATTTTATAAATGACTGGGTAATAGGTCATGTGGTCTATAGATTCATTGTAAGGTGTTCATGTATGAATGACTTTACTTGCTCATTTATGGTTCAATGATCAATGTTAAGATCTTTTGCTTATTTCGTCTATAGATTGTGTGTTAGTTGAACATGTCTGTCTTAGAGGTCATTTATTTGACTTTGACCTCATTAGGCAGTTAAGCTGCCTTATGCGAGCACCCTAGATTTGTGTTCTACCCAATAAATGTTGAAATACGTGCCATGGTTATAATCTAGCTGGCTATTATGTCATTTATAACTAATTGGACATTTTTTTAATACTTTTATTTCTGGAATACAAAAAATATGACCAGAAAAACCTTAAATGATCGTCGAACTACCCAAAACTTTTGAAGTTGCACATAAGAAGTAGTGCTCAATAGAAATCCGTACGTAGTTTATTATCCCCTGTGCTTTTGGCTACGATGTCAAAGAACAATTGTATGAAATATTTCATCGCCGAAAATCGGTAATTACAAGTCGTTTATATTTCCCAAATGGCAAAATGCGCAGGAATATTGTTCATGAACAACAAATCTCTATGATAGAGGAAATAAAGTTATATAAGTGGGCGGTAATTTTTAACTTATCTTGCCAAATAAGGTTGTTATTATTTTATGAATGAAACGAGGTCATGAAACAGATGTGGAAATCGACGTTGATAGGATGTTATGTGGACAACTCGTCCCCGAGACAAGTCGGACCGAATCCACGCAAACCGTCTAAGAAGACAACTTTGACCGTTTGTCAGATTTACTTTGAGTTTCATAAAATATTAGACTAACATGTCTAGCGGAGCCATTAATCTTTTGCTTGTGCATTGGGGTTTATTTAGGGGTATTTGGAGGGACATGAAGAAGGGAGGGGTTTATTATAGAACCCTATGGGTTTTTATTTTTTTTAATTTTCAAATGACTTTTTCTCGAAAACAGTAAGTGATAGATAGACACATCATCAGTGCAGTCTTCAGTAATGAGAACAGGACAATAAAAACAATCAAGCAAAATATAGGGTGAGTCCCTGGGGGTCATCCCAACCCCCTTCAATTTGAAAATGTACTTTTATCTTGTAAACCGTCGTGATCCCCACCCCTAAACAATATATATATACTTGTATGGGACAATAAAAGAAATCAAATGAAGATAATTTGGGGGAGTCCCCGGTGTCGTCCAATCCCCTCCTGTTTGAGAACTTGGAAATGGTCGAGATTCCCACCCCTAAACCTTATATATATTCATGTATGGGACAATAAAACAAATGAAATGAAATATAGGGGGAGTCCCTGGTGTCACCCCAACACCTCCTGTTTGAGAACTTTTAAACGGTTGCGATCCCCACCCCTAAACCATATATATTCATGTATGGGACAATATAACAAATCAAATGAAATATATGGGGAGTCCCTGGGGTCACCCCAACCCCTCCTGTTTGAGAACTTGGAAATGGTTGAGATCCCCATCCATAAACCATATACATTCATGTATGGGACAATAAAACAAACGAAATGAAATATAGGGGGAGTCCCTGGTGTCACCCCAACCCCTCCTGTTTGAGAACTTTTAAACGGTAGCGATCCCCACCCCTAAACCATATATATTCATGTATGGGACAATAAAACAAATCAAATGCAATATAGGGGAAGTCCCTAGGGACACCCTACCCCCATCTGTTTGAGAATTTGTAAACAGTCAAGATCCCCACGGTACAGACCCCACCCCTATGTAAGCGTACTTTCATTCCGCCGTGTATTTATTCCGGGTAACTGTTTTTCACTAGAGAATATTGGATGTAAATAGTGTGAAAGCGTCGATCTTGATATTGTTGTTTTGTTTATATTAGACCGGTTTATTGTTTACAATGATTTTCAAGGAACCAGTTTAATTAATCTGAGTCAATCTAGTAGATCTAAATAATATTGATGATGATGAGGACGATATTTTTATAACTCAAAATACTTTATTAATGATCAAGACATTGAACTTGATATAAACCAAATTTAAAGAGCAGATTTGCTCTTACATAAAGTTTCAATTATAGAAGCATCCTTTGATATTGACATAGAAGATATGATTTTATATCCATGTCGACCGAAAAGCAAATACACAGAAAAACTTCAGCAATCCAATACATATAAATATTACAATTAGTGACAATTTGAAAGCATATGATTTTATAAATTTGCATAGAAAAATTAATTAAATCTAATATTCGTTAATAAGCATTATTGTGTTATCGTGTGTTCAAAATGAGTACTAATCACTTCATCAATGTATGGATCTAAAGCACTAGTGTAATTAATCCTGATATAAAATAACTAGTGCAATCATTCCGGTACAAACTCACTAGTGTAATCATTCCTGGTTTAAAAACACTTGTGTGAACATTCCTTGGATGAAAACTCTCTACTTTTTACATAAATCAACTATGCAATTTTCAAATACACTAAAAAACTATTAAGCCACATTTTATATATATTTCCCCTTCAAAAAACCCTTTTTAGAACCTTATAATGACTGGTGAATGTTTTACACTGGACCCGGATAGAAAAACCTAGTGAAAACCTCCTCCTGTTTAAGAACTTGTAAATAGTCAAGATCCCCACCCCTAAACCATATATATATATTCATGTACGGGACAATATAACAAATCAAATGAAATATATGGGGAGTTCCTCGGGTCACCCCATCCCCTCCTGTTTGAGAACTTGGAAATGGTTGAGATTCCCACCCCTAAACCATAAGTATTCATGTATGGGACAATAAAACAAATCAAATGAAATATAGGGGGAGTCCATGGGGACACCCCACCCCTCTTGTTTGAGAACTTGTAAACAGTCAAGATCTCCACCCCTAAACCATATATATTCATATATGGGACAATATAACAAATCAAATGAAATATAGGGGGAGTCCCTGGGGTCACCCCACCACTTCCTGTTGGAGAACTTGTAAACGGTCGAGATACCCACACCTAAACCATATTTATTCCTGTTCATCATTTCAAAAAGATTTGAATGACATACAGGGTCAATCTTGTAGGTGTCACATATGCATATCACTTTACTAGACCAAACCAATATGAACTGGACTTTGCCCAATGTCAGGAGACCATGGGAATGACGAATTATGGGGGCTTTGTTTGGGAGACTTCGTAACGGCATCCTGTTACAATTATTTCTTGTTTATTATAAAATTTTATTGATGCAAAAATGAGTCTAGGTTAATTGAATATTTTAATTATTTATTAAATTATTACTGGGCCTATAATAATTTTCATTTATGGCTCATTTTAAAGAAAACATATAAATCTTTCAAGCAGTGTAAAGCCCAAGAATGTTTGACCAACTGTTTTATAATCACCTGTCGTTTTATTCCAAACTTGGTATGGAGTAACATCATGCACTTGGGGTGAAGATGGGGGTCATTTACATTGATATACGAGTTGCTTTTGAAAACCTTGATGAAATATTAATTAATTTGCCTTATTAATCAATTAATTTAATGAACATAAATGTACAATATACGAATGTTTAATGTTTGTTCTTTCAAATCTTTAAAAAAAATGAAGCAACACTGCCACAGTTTTCATAATTATGTTTGCCTTGGTTTTTGGTTAACTGCCTACAGCGCTTACAGTGCTTTGATTTTTCTTTTTTAATAACCGTTGTTGAGTTTTCATGCTTATGTCAGTTTCTCATTTACCATAACATGTATGGCAACTATATTTAATCTATAGGACTATTTTTGTTAGGTCTTCATGTCCATTTGACAGGGGTCATCTGACCCTGACATCATTTTCATTGATCAAGTTTTCATGCCTAGGATATTTTCTATATGTACTATATTTGTTTGGTTTTTGGAAACTGACTGACCGTAACCTCATTTTCATGGTTTAGTGACCAACTTTTAAGTTTTAGTGCTTAGGTCAGTTTCTGTTCAGTTGCTTCAAGTAATAGGTCAGCTATATTTGTTCTATAGAATAATTGCAAGGTGTACATGCCCATATGATGGGGTTCACTTGACCTTTATCTCATTTTCAGTGTTCTACTAATGACATTAAATTTTTATGCTTAGGCCAGTATATCAGTACTATGGTCCTCAGAATCATTATAGGTGTAGTGTACACGTCTGACTGACAAGATTCAACTTACCTTGACCTAATTTTCATTTATAATTTGTTAAAAATAATTTTGAACACTTTACATGTGGTATGAACTTGATATTAAGAGCATACGATACAGTTTTGATCCCACAGTGATTTTTTTACGAAAATTTGCATACAAGCTATTTTTCACTTAGTTAATTCAAATATGTAATAAAAAATATACCTTCATGTGCTAAATTTAGAGATAAATGGGGTTGAAATTTTAGACATTTACTTAATTTACTTTGAATTTCGGTTTCTTGTACATTTCTATCATTTGGACAGACATACTTAACTTTTTTGTCTCAAAAGATAAACACATGCGGATTTTTGTAAAACGATATAGAATATCTTCTTTACAAAAGTATGCTCTTAATTTGTGTAACAATTCTTTGAAAATAACTCATTTTTATTAAAATTTCATGATTTTAGTAAAAAAACAGCATATTCATCTGATTAAAAAAAAAAATCATCTGTGATTTTTTCATAAAAATTGGAACAAATAATTTTCATACAGTATCAAGTCATTTGTCATTTTAAAAAAAAGAGGGATCCATGTACTCGTTTTCAAGCTAATGATTAAAATCCCTCGAAAAATGCATCTTTTCCCAATAAGTCGCAGTTTGACAACGCGAAAAATAACATATTACGTTAGCAACGTCATTACCTCCCCTGTAACTGTATTTTGTATGCCCTTAAATGATAAATAGGACTTACAATATATTAGTTAGTCATAACTTATTAAGCTGGTGAGACTTTTCAGCATACCCACTCTTGTTATATGAACAATTGTAAATACTTTATATTTTCTTTTCAGAGTATTTGCAAGATTTAAGTGAAGTTTTACTATTTTTACTTTTACCACAAGAAGATTTTCATAATAAATCTTTTCGTTATATATTGAGGGTGAGTAAACACGTTATATATTGTTGGTGAGTAAACACGTTATATATTGTTGGTGAGTAAACACGTTATATATTGAGGGTGAGTAAACAGCATTCTATTTCTTTACAACACAGAAATGTGTAAGGTCAAAGAATTATTCATCAAACAAGAATGTAGACATTCAATTCTGTATTACAAGATGCTGGATTAGCCAATCAAATTATAGCACATTTTCGTATCACACTCCATACAGTGTGATACGAGAAATATCTATTCATGCAAGAAATAGATAAAAGGCCACAACCATAAGAGAAATAGTCAATAAAAAAAAAATGTGGGGAATATGTAAATGAGACAGTGACCCAGCAACACAAAATACTGAAAGACATGATGAAGTAAGCATATGGTCCTCAATAGGCAAGTGTCTATACAGATTGTCAAGACTATAAAAAAACTACCATTAAAACCAAATTCCCAAAATGATGATGAAAAACATAACTATTTAGAAGCATAAATTTCATGTTATAATTTTGATGTTTAAATTTTGTAGGAAGTTTTAGTGAATGGAATATTTTTACCCACAATAGATTTAATGTCCGATCCAGATTATGTCAATCAAAATATAGCTTGGTTTGTGAGTATAATTATTCTTAAATTTAATCTATCTGATCTTCAGGATTATGTTATTAATTTTTTTCAGTTGAATAACTTACTTCTATTTTACATTTTAGCATTTTCTACGTTTTATATTGCGTCTAAGAGGGTCTTGATGGGGATTTACAGAATAGAGAATAATGGGCTAAAAATAAAAAGAAAAGAGAAAAATAGACCAGAAACATAAAGAATAGAGAATAATGGGCTAAAAATAAAAAGAAAAGAGAAAAATAGACCAGAAACATAAAGAATAGAGAATAATGAGCAAAAATTATAAAGAATAGAGAAAAATGGCCCAAAAAATTAAAGAATACACAAATGAAGGTTCCCCTCCCCCCATCCATACCCTCGTCTAGTCAATTCCATGGTTGAAGTTCAGTGTCATTGCCAACAACATTTGGCAATAAAGTCAATATTTTTGGGATATTTCAAATATATTATTTTTAACAATTTACAAGTACTGCATTAAAAGAGGAACTACAGTTCTATGTTTGAAGAGGAACTGTCAGTTGGAGATTTGACGGTGACAACTCTTCAAATTAAGTACCGTACTTCCTTAATTTTATGTTTGTGAAGGAGTATGCAATACTGTAAACATTTTGAATAATAAAAGAGATACTGCCATAAAAAAAATGAATATGATGAAAACTTTTAGTTTTATTTTGGATGCAGATGTACAGACAGAGGATATTAAAATAATGATTATAAGACCCAATTCACACTAGGACATTTAGATCGATTTAAACTAGATCGGTTCACTTAAGATCGGTTTAATGGATTATGTGAACGCTTTGAATCGATCTTTAATTGGTCTAAACTAAAACACCAAAAGAGGTAGTTTAGTTTGAATCGATCTAAAGTGAACCGATCTAACTTTAAATGTGAACACAAAGATCAGCTTAAACTAGTACGATTGAATCGAAAATAATTTATGCGCATGTATAGTGGCAAAACTACACGTGTAATAACATAACATCCCTGTATATATCAGTGGTTTGTTGTTTAACTCATATTTCTCTGTTAACAGACATTTGTGTACATGCAAGTAAAAACAAACAGAAAAAGTTGCATGTCTTCGCCGTAGCATAAATTTGCGAAATCTGTGTCTTCTTTTCTTCTGTTGATTTTGTTTTTTTCTTTTCAGGAAGCGCAGCATTTTTTAATGCTGTAACTTTCTTGCTACAGTTTTTTGTTTCATAATTAATGAAAACTGCAAGAACACCAGTATTTGAACTTGTGATTAGAGAAACAATAACTTCGTCCATTTTAGTACACATCAGTGTACCAACACATAAATTTGATTAATTATTCCTATTTACACACAATGTTTGCAGTTTTACAGGTAATTAGGTCAGATCGATTGCATTTTTATTGCGAACCCAATGAAAGTTTTCCACAGTGCCATCTCTATCTGGTCAAGGTATTTAAACTTTTGTAAGTTCTCTTGTCCCATCAAATGAATACAATAGCTATTGTTATCTGTGTAGTTTATTCACTGGGACCTTTAAATTTCTTCTAAGAGAAATCTATCACTCATTGATTAATTAACCTGAGTCATGAACAAATTTTCTTATATATAGACAAAAATACTTTTTTTATACTCATTAACTGCCTGTGATGATGTATTTATTCAAAATTGATGATATATTATCAATCTTTTCAATAAAGACACTGATTTAATCATAAAAATTTGATTTCTAACAAAAGTTTAAGTAATGTTCCCATTGAAATTTGCTTTCTTTTTTTTTTGTTTAGTTATAGAATACATTTAAGTAGGTCTTAATTTGAGCATCATAATTTTCAAGTTTTTATTTGTCAAACACTCATAAAAAAAAAACAAATTCTAAAGTTTTGTCAGAAATCAACTTTTATTAATGTTTGAACCACTGTTTATTTTCAACAAATTGAAAATATCTTATTAATATTGAATAAATACAACATCACATGCAGTTTTGAGTATAAAACATGTATTTTCGTCTATTTAGAAGATTTTTTTTTACTCAGGTAAATTAATCAATGAGTGATAGATTTCCCTTAGAAGAAATTTAAAGGTCCCAGAGAATAAACTACACAGAGAACAATAGCTATTGTATTTATTCAATAGGACAGGTGAACTTACAAAAGTTTAAATACCTTGACCAGATAGAGATGGCACTGTGGAAAACTTTCATTGGGGTCGCAATAATTGTACTTATTAATTATTAATATTGAATAAATACAACATCACATGCAGTTTTGAGTATAAAACATGTATTTTCGTCTATTTTGAAGATTTTTTTTTACTCAGGTTAATTAATCAATGAGTGATAGATTTCTCTTAGAAGAAATTTAAAGGTCCCAGTGAATAAACTACACAGATAACAATAGCTATTGTATCATTTGATGGGACAAGAGAACTTACAAAAGTTTAAATACCTTGACCAGATAGAGATGGCACTGTGGAAAACTTTCATTGGGTTCGCAATAAAAATGCAATCGATCTGAAGAAATTTAAAGGTCCCAGTGAATAAACTACACAGAGAACAATAGCTATTGTATTTATTCAATAGGACAGGTGAACTTACAACTCTATATAAATAATTGTAGTGTGAACGAAGTGGTTCACATTAGACCGATAGAGATCGTTATGATTAAAGACAATGTGAACGCTAACTGGTTTTATTTAGATCAATTCAAATTAGATCGATTAAAAAAAATGCTAGTGTGAATGGATTCTTAATATTCTTTTAATTATTGTTGGTTCTTATTTGTAATTGATAATTTTCAGTGTACAGAAAGAACGTTAACGAATGAAACTTTTTTACAAGTTGCCAAAAGTTCTATTGATATTGATGAATTAGAAGCAGTTAAAGAAATTGTAGAACAAAATATACATAAATGGAGATCTAAGGACAGTGGAGGAATTGATGGTAAGAATAGCAGTCCTGGTAACAAAATTTGCTTAAACAAACATCAACAAAAACCCAACAATGTTACAAAATATACCATGCCACAAAAATATGCTTGAACAAACATCAACAAAACACAACAATGTTACGAAATATACCATACCACAATCGTAATGTGCCTGTCCCAAACGAGGAGCCTGTAGTCCATTTGTTGTTGTTGGTTGCTGTCTGCTAGAATTGTTTTTTGTTTAATGTTATTTGATTAAATTGGACCTTTAGTTTTCCCTTTTGAATTGTTTCTCATTTTGTAACCCAAGGCTTTTTACTATATAATATGGGGTTTGCTCATTGTTGAAGGCCATACAGTGACCTGTAGTTGTTTACATCCTTTCCCTTTGGTCTTTAATGGATAGTTGTCTTATTAGTAATCATACCACATCTCCATATTTAGAAATTGATTGAGATATATTGCTACGGGAGAGGTTAAATGGGTAGTAAAACTGTCACGGTACCAAAGTTTGTTTAAAATAAAGCGACAACAAACAACAATGTTACAAAATAGATATAAATATATATAGATTGGCACAGACTGAAATCAAGCTTGTAGAGTGTAATAACAAATATGTTGTGGATCTTGGCTTTGAAAACATGATTTCTTAATTTTCTCTGGCATACAAGATGCAATCATGCATAAATCAGGCTGACAACTTCTTTAATAAGGTCCATAAATTAGGTCAATATCCACAGTTCATTTCAGGTGGGTGGAAGGGTAGCATTTTCTTCAATTTCTCTGTCCATATTGTCATGGTACAAATAGAGATTCAGAAATTCAATTTTCCACAATTTTTCCAACCAGATAAGCCCTTTGTCATGCCAAAAAAAATCAGTTTATTGCAAACATTTAATAACTTCATATTTTTCACCTCTATTCTATGGTCCTTTGCTCTTCAAATAAGCACAATTGGTGAATATCAGTCATCTATTAAAAATAGCAAATATCCAATATAACTAATTGAGTGGTATATCATGGATATTGACCCAAGAATGATGTTACGTTTTATAAAGTTGTAGGACAGTATTGACTTAACTCTTGAGTTTTTAGTAGAAATCTTTTGTCTGTTATAAATATTCTTTAACATTTTTCTTGACAGATGCACTAGTTAAACAGAATTTAAACAGTTTGATATTTGTAAAAACTATATGTGAAGGAAGAATAAAAAGATTGATTGACGGAGTGGATGATAATAATGATGTAAGTAAACAACAACAAAACATGTTATTTTATGAAATTATACAGAAATTTAAATGAACTACTAGAGCAGTTTAAAAGATAGAATCAGAAGCAAAAAAACCCAAATGTTTTCAACAACAATGGAAAATGTTTGATAAGGACATTGAATTTGAAAATCATACAAGTGGTATTCTAAGTTATCTACGTTCATATCCGTAGAAATGGAGATTTTAACACCCTGAAGGATCCAAGTACACCCTGAGGCGCAGCCGAAGGGTGTTAAAATATCCATATCTACGGATATGAATGTAGATAACGAATTTATCCCCGGTCTTAGTCTAAACCTGGCAATTTTTAGAGAAATTCGACCACAAAGTTTAACGTGAAAGCAATGTTTTTTTCATTTTTTAAATATCTTTTATTGAAATTTGGGAATTTGACATAATTTTTACGGGTGTAGGGTACTACCTTTGGTAGAACCCTACAGGTAGACAAATTTAAGACGTTTTTAATTTAGAGACAGAGAAACTGAAATGGGTTGAATTTGGCGCTCAATGTTGTGAGAGTTACATCATAGACGGTGTGACGTCAACGTGGGTCATTTGCATAGCTAGGTCAGTAGTCCCATTCATTGACAATGTGGCAGCATAGTGATGCATTTACTAAAATGAGTGCAAATAATCGACATATAATAAGATAAAATCGTTAGTGGATTAAGTATCTAGTTATACAGACATCATGGATAATCTACATAATTCGATATTTCATAAGGAACAACCATGGAACTAAGGAAAACGCTCGTGAAGTTCCCCGATGTAATGGGTAGCAACGTCCAGGGATATGGGTTAGCAACACGCAGGGGCTATGGGTTTTGTAACGACGTGCGTTAACCAATCAAATTCCTAGAAATATACTAAGCCGGGGATAAGTTGAGTTACTTTCTTCAGATAGTAACAGCACTTTAGCCTGTTAGATAATGTAATAGTTGTAATAAATTTTGATTTGAATAGGCCTTCAAACTCCAAAAACTGTCAAAATTTCTTAATTTTGAGATCTTCCTGTTAAAAGTTGAAAATGAGCAACATGCAAAAAGATATTTTTCCACATGTCTTTTAATTATATCTAGATATTGATTGGAGTTAATTATCTTATTGTGTAAGGTTGTTGCTAATAAAAGTTTTTTTTTCAATTTTACCGAAAAGTGAATTTTATATTTGTCTGATCTTGTCAAAAATGTCATTTATGACATGCTTATGATGTCAGTGTTACATCACTTTTTACTCTCCTAAGTTAAAATGACCAGAATATTATTCTCTTCATTCATAAATACACCAATTTCGAGTTGTTTTTGGGATATGATTGCTGTCAAGCAATCTGTAGACTTTTACAACCGACTCCTTTCCAAAGCTCTCACATCAACCGTTTTGTGCTTTATATTAAGGAACAACTCCAATTCTTAAGATTGTTCTGTTTTAAAGAGTAAAACAAACAAACAGATTGCATTTAAACAATTTTCCGTTAGTTTTCTTCTCATAATCCTCATGTTTTGATATCTCCCTTTTTTATTTGCGTTTATTTTACAATACCGAAAATCAGTATTAAGAAGTATCTATATTTAGGGTTTTATATATTTAGCATCACGTCAAAGTGGGAATTACTCTGTTTCGTTAAAATGCAAGAGTGGTTCCAAAATAAAACTATTTCCGTCAGATAAGTACTGAAGTGGTGTCGTTACTATTATGTTACCTTTATGAAACTTTGATATTGAACTTCCATAGAGGAAATGATGAACCACAATTGACATGTTGTCCTCAATCAAAACATAATTCTAACGGTTTGTTTATGTAATTAAGCCCATGTGTAGTTTTTTATACGCCGTCAAATTTTTGACAGGACGTATTATGTTATACAAATGTCCGGCGTCCGTCCGTCCGTCTGTCCGTCCGTCTGTCTGTCCGTCTGTCTGTCTGTCCGTCTGTCTGTCCGGCGTAAACATGTCGCACCGTAACTTGAGAATGACTTAACATAGTTGTTTCTTATGATGGTCAAACGATCTGTATACTTTTTGGTGAAAATAAGATTAAAACTTTTTGAGTTACGGGACTTAGTAACTAAAACAGGTGTGTGTTTTTTTTCACATGTCGCGCCATATCTCAAAAACAATTTATGATTATTGCTTAAACTTTACACACTTCTTAGTTATATTAATCTTAAGATCTGTATACTTTTTGGTGATGATTCAAAATTTTATTTTAGAGATATTGAGTATTTTGTTAAAAAAGGGGGAGGGGTTTTTCACATGTCGCGCCATATCTCAAAAACAGTTTATGATTATTGCTTAAAACTTTACACACTTCTTAGTTATATTAACCTTAAGATCTGTATACTTTTTGGTGATGATTCAAAATTTTATTTTTGAGTTATTGAGTATTTTGTAAAAAAAGGGGGAGGGGTTTTTCACATGTCGCGCCGTATCTCTAAAACGATTTATGATTAATGCTTAAAATTTTACACACTTCTTAGTTATATTAATCTAAAGATCTGTATACTTTTTGGTTTTGATTCAAAATTTTATTTTTGAGATATTGCTTTTTTTTTTTTTTAAAAGGGGGGGTTTTCACATGTCGCGCCGTATCTCAAAAACGATTTATGATTATTGCTTAAAATTTTACACACTTCTTAGTTATATTAATCTAAAGATCTGTATACTTTTTGGTTTTGATTCAAAATTTTATTTTAGAGATATTGAGTTTTTTGTAAAAAAAAAAGGGGGTTTTCGCATGTCACGCCGTATGTCAGAAACTATTTATGCTTATTGCATAAAAATTCACACACAAGACGACGGGCGTATCATGCACTCATGGTGCAGCTGTTTATTTACCTTGAGAGGCATCAGAATAAATGGTTGCTCTGGATTCCCCACTCCATTGATTGATTTGCAACTCAAGAGATCCTTTCTGTGTTTTTATCCGCTATTTAAGGTTATTGTTGTTGCATTATTTACTCTGAAAATGTAGTTAACAGCATAATGGTAGAAGTAGAACACCCCCTCAGCCCAAACGGAGTCTTCCTTAAAGAAACTCACTGTTAATCAAATGTTTTAAAAAAGTCAAATTCATTTAACACGCTATTAAGAAACTCAATGTTGATCAAATGTTTTTAATAAAGTCAAATTCATTTAACATGTTTTAATATGTAAATAATCATCAGATGTGTTTATTTGCTATTATTCCTGTTTTGTTAAAAATCTTGGTAGATCAATAATGATCTGTGGATAGACTATTCCATTCAAGTCAGGGGTATACTTGTTGATAGACTATTCCATTCAAGTCAGGGGTTAAGATCTGTTAAAACTTCATGGAATAGAAGACTTGTAATAAAGAAGACAGTGTCCAGAGTAAAATTTAGAAGAAACAAAAATTGCATTTGTCTGTGTATTACTAGTAATTGGAATTGGTTGATTTTTTTACTGTTAACATTTAGTTATTTTGGCCATTATTTAAAATGAAAAACAATATTCAGATTGAATCAAATAGGGAATACATGTGCAGTTGAATTATTTTTGAGAAAGAATACTAATATCAATGGAAACAATGGCGAATGAGTTACACTTGTTGACAACACCATCAAACAATAGGTTCTTACTGTTATGTAATAACATAAGCATTGTGACACAGGAAATTTACAGGAAAGTGCACGAATTCAAAAGTCATCTATAGAATTAATGTAGTTTTAAAAGAATTTCAGGAATTTGTATCATACATCAGTAAAACTGATACTAAAGCAAACAAATAAAACTATTAAATTTCTTAAAAGAAAATAAAAGAATATAACAAAGAATCACACTGATGATTATATAATTGAAAATATACAATGTGTTACCTACTTGTGTTTCATATTTACATTGTTATCATGTTAACTTTGGTATGCATGTATGGGCTGTGGTTAGTGAATGGAGTTAACAATTTAGAAAATACCAAAGAAGAAGGAAAATTGGAAAGAAAATATTAATCTTTGTAACAGTTTTGAGATCATATATATATGTAATTGTTGGTCTAAGGGGAGGTAATTTGTACATTATTTTTTTAAAGATCGACTTAAATTATACATCTTAAAGTTTAATTCAGTTTTGAATACTAGCACTGATCTAAAATATTCGCTGTTCAATAATTAATGAGGCAGTTATACTTATTTCTGAAGATTTTTTTTCAGATCTGATTGATTTAAAATTGTTTTTCGTTTTTTATTACAGATTTCTGATATTTGCAGAGCAAGGAATATATTTGTATTAAGTTTAGATGAAATTATAGAAAATAATATAGCATTAGCAGTTTTTATAGGTAAGATCATTGATTCTGTATCATCTTGGTATGACATAGCTTGTACATAAAAGATACTACAAAATTCTACAGACAAGACAGTTCAACGAAATGGTCTTATCTAATAACTTAATCATCATCTAAATTATAATATAAATGGTATTGATTATTTCATTTAGATTTCATAAAAACACACACATCTCAAACAGGTATTTATAAAATGTGTTGAAACAAGAAGTAAGAACATGTGAAGTGCATTCAAAAATCTTATATACAATAAGTACAAATAAAAAAAGAAGACAATAAAAAACTAGTCCAGATAAAAATTATACAGAAAATGAAAAATTTAGTGATGTGAACCTGACTAAAATCAAGTGTTGAACTCATGCTGAAGATGGGTATGCAGTTTCTGTTCCACTAATTTTTGTTGCTTATAACCAAGTAAATTCTACCGATAAGTTACTGTCAGTGATTGGTCATTGATAAGGAGGAGGAGGTTTTGGCTACAACAAATGGAACATGTCTTTGCTCATCTAAAACACATAAATTAGATAACAGTTGACCAATTTGTAATGGTGTCCATAAAATTTTAAAAAGCTAATATCCTTACCATAATCATCCTATATATGCGTAAAATATTTGCCACTAGTTGTTAGTTTTTATAAGTCTTAAAATGTGTACAACAACACCAAAACAATGATAATTTAAAAAAAGTATGAAACAAAAATACAAAATTCAATAAATATTTTGGATAGCAAATGTCCTTCATCAGTATGAGCTTTTGAAAATAACACCTTGGGACAAAATTGGGACACCCAAAGTAAAAAACAGAGAGAGATTTTGGATGCATCAGCTACATACTCTTGAACCTGATGGACTTAATGAGAGAGATGAAAAACAGTTTTATCAAAAACCAAAGGAATAAATCTTGAACTTCTTACTATTTAACTAACACAGTTATTTGTTTTAATTTAATAATCGCAATGTACAATAAGGCGTGAATAAGCTGGAAAAATATATTTAAAGGACATGTACAATAAGCTGCAAAAATTTCTTTACAGCATCCAATTTTTACCTGGATGGCTGCACGTGCCTGATGAAGCTAATTTGTTTAGTGAAATATTGCGTGAATACATTAAACTATAACAACTATTTTTATAACACTCATTAGTGTGTTAAAGTTACATTCTTAGGCATTTATATATATATATATATATATATACAAATTGAAAACAACGTTCAAACCTATGATTGCGTTAGATAAAAACCACAATTTTTATACGTGTGCATGCAAAACAAATTTCTTGGTAGAGGGGTCTAAATACAGCACAAACAACATTTTCCAAAAGACCAAATGAGTGAAAAAGTATATTTTAACAAAACGCATTTAACTAGCAGGTCGAACAACTGATGTTCTTAAACCCTGCTGACTGCCATTGGTGATTGCCAAATAAACGGATCACAAGATGTAATAGAATAGATCTTATTATTAATTTATTACCAAACAGAAAACAAAATCTTGTGGAAAAGATGGTATACCGCAAACATGAGGTGCAAAAATTATCATATTACACCATATCCGGTTTCGACAATTAATGTCTCTTCGGTGATGTTAGGAATCGAAAAGGTATTTGGAAGGCCATATAATTTACCTCAATTTAGGATAGACTCTTGAATTTTGAAAGAGTCAAAATAGGATGAACGGATCATATAAACCTGAAGGCAAATATAATACAAGCTCAAACAAAAAAATATAAACAAGTCTAAATTGAAAACAACATTATTAGAATCCACAATTTATTAGCAGTTGAAGTTGTATGATTTTGAATTTATGATTTAATTTATTCATCAACTATTCTATTTCAGAATTTATGACAAGTGTTGGGGGCCAAATGTATTTATTTTTTTATTTAAATGTTGAGGTAAGTTTATATAAAATTTGAATTGTTATCAAATGTTAAATAGATTGCAAATTTTGTCAGATTTTGAAATTATACAGGGCTATATTTCATAAGCATTGTGACACATTTTGTGTAGACTGAACTTATCTGAAGGATGCATATTCCCTGAAGAACCTGTAACATTGGTTAAATATGCAATTGAATTGACCTGTTCTCTGTAAAATAGTTGTTAGGGCTGCAGGATTTATTGTGAAATTTCTGGTACTGCACTTTGTCATGACTGCATATTCTTAGGAGTAGGATATACTAAAGTTCAGTTCCTTAAAGTATTATTACACTCATTTTCAAAATTCTTCTGTTAAAAAAGAGTGATGATGTTACTTCTGTATTACTAGATTTTTTACTTCCAGAGATATTGATAAAATCAAATGATCCTTTACAAGAGACTCCCTATATTTTCTGTAAAGACAATTTGCTGTTAGTTCTAAAGAAGTTAGTTGAACTTGCAACCAGTTTCTTTCATAGATATTTTATTGTAGTATAACAGAAATGTTATTTTGTTTTTAGGGTTTCCGTGCAGCTGCAGAGCAGCAGATTAGGGCAGCACAACAGAGAGCAATGGGAGGGGAGGCAACTGAAGCTGATTTAGAGTCTTTACGAAGAGCAGCGTTAATTATTCATGATCAGTATTTATCTGAAAAGGTAAATTTATTATAGTTTCTCACACCATTACTTTTTCCTAATCTATCAATGTTAATATCAATGTCACATAAATGTAGGTTAAACTCAAGTTTGTATTGTCAATTTTGGCTTGAACTATTTAATATATAAAAGTAGAATGATTTTTAGGATGTTATTAAAAGTATTATGGCTGGATCAACTTATAGAACTTAGTTGGTTCAAATTTGATTGATATAAGAAATGATTATTTTACAAATACTACCTGTGTTTCTGGTTTCTGTATTTGGAACATTTATGATTTTAATAAAACAATACAGATAGAAAACTGATAAGCTATTGTATTCTAACAATTTTTTTCTGTTTTATGATCATTATACATTAAGAAAACAACAATTAATCAATCAATCTAATAATCAATCATTCTGTTGTATAATATAGTGCATGAATGTGTAAGGATACATTTTGTACATGAGGAGATATCATACAATGTATAATGCCTGGTAAAAGTTAGCTCAAATTATATTCACTTTCAGCATACATACAGGTTACAAAGCCAACTAGCACAAGCAGTTGGTAACTATGGATTAACAAAGAGGTGCATATGAATAGACTGTAAAGCTACATGTATACTCTTACACACAGCCAGAACAGTAACTGTTACTTTTTTTCTACGTGGACAAAGAATGTATAGTTTAATATGGTATTAAACTTGGTGTAAAACCAAACATCAAAGTCTTTAACTACACAAATGTGTACAGAGGGAGTGGTACACATAGACGAAGAATGTGTAGTTAAAATACAGATTTGATGTAAAGAGTACGTCAAAAGCATTGAAATCAACAGGGGTTCCTAACTAAATGTATTTTTGATAAAGTATTTATGTATAACAACATCTTTATTTCTGAAATTTGTTTTCACTTTTGTAAAAAAAAAAATGCATACCTGCCTACCCTACTGAATCGCTGTCAGCAAACAAAGAATTTTTATGGCTTGACCTTACAATTAATTACATTGTGACTGTATTTTCTACTTTTAGGCTTCATCTAGAATTAAAATAGACAGTGAAATAGTAAAGAGAACATTGCAACGAATTAAGAGTAAATTTTTATCAGAAAGTGTGTTTGATGAAGTTGCAGCTAAAGTAAGTATTTGTGAAATTTTTTTTGCGACTTTTTTTAAGCAAAGCTACATTGAACAGCTGAAACATAGTTAGTTAGTTAGTTTGATGTGGTATGATGTGAATGATACAACTATCAACCAGAATTCAAAGGAAGTGGATAAAAGCAATTATAGGTCACTGTACAGCCTTCAACAATGAGAAAGACAAGTTTTACATGGCACTTTTTTCTTTGAAAGTTTGTAAGTTAGGGACTAACATTTATGTGGCTTTGTATAGAGTCACATTTAAGAATCCAACAGTTTCCACTTAAAGATAGGTCACTGAGAGCTGTGCTTCATTTTTGTAAATTTGTGTTAACTTGAAATAACAAATATGTGGCAATCTTTGATGAGACATCAACCCAACAACCAATATAAATCAGAAAAAGACTTCTAATGGTATTACTAGGATAGTTATGACAATTTCAATGACCGTTCTTTTACAGGACGTATTATGGTATACTGTTTGTCCGTCCATCATCAACATGTCGGACAATAACTCAAAAACGCTTTAACCAATTTTCATGAAACTTTGTTGAATTGTTTTTATCTATTGATGTAAACTCCCTTTTGATTTCTATAAATTTTAGATTTTACATTTCCCAGCTATGGGATTTTATTCAGAAAAAATGGGAGATTTTCCAGTTTTTGTTTCGCCTGCGACGAAAGTTGCAGTATGCGAGACATAGGTATTACTATCCGGCGGGGGCGGCGGCGCAAACTATTTGTATAAAGCTTTATATTTCAGAAGGTAGAAGACCTGGATGCTTCATATCTTGTATGCAGATACCTTATGTTACGAAGTTTCCGTCTGTCATATGTCCAATGTCCTTGACCTCATTTTCATGGTTCAGTGACTGCTTGAAAAAAAAAATTGAGTTTTTTTGTAATGTGAATTTCTCGCTTATTATGAGTAATAGGATAACTATATTTGGTATATCGGTTCCTTGCAACGTCTACATGTCCATCAGACAGGATTCACCTGACCTTGACCTCATTTCATGGATCAGTAATCAAGGTTAAAGTTATGTGATTAAGTCCATTTCTCAAATATTATAAGCAGTAGGATAACTATATGTTGTGTATGGAATGACTGTATTGGGTACATGTCAGTCTGGCAGGTTTCTTCTGACCCTGACCTCATTTTCATGGTTCATTGGTCAATGTTAAGTTTTTGTGTTTTGGTCTGTTTTTCAAGTACTATAGCAATAGGTCAACTTTTAATTTCCTGGACTGACTTACAGAAAACCCAAAAATCTGTTACGAAAGAGGACCTTTTAGAAGAAAATATATTCGGCAATTGTAAATTCAAGTTCAAGGGTCATGCCTTATATTATGCAAATTTTGCCTCCAGTGGAATAAAAAAAATAAAAGATTTATGGGACTTAAATAATGAATCCTTTAAAACTTCTTTTGCAATTTTCAACAACCTTAAAGATAAAAGGAACTGGATAGCACAATATAGCCTCATTAAAGCTTTGTTAACGCCTCAACAAATTGACATTTTAAAAACAGACCCCATCATGCAAAGTCATTCCGATAGACCTATGAAAATAATAAATTCTTGTCAAATTTCAAAAAATGGAGTTGTCGTTGATGCTAAAAAATTGCGCCTTAAAGATATTAGATACTTTTATGAGAATAACATAACTCCAAATAGTCAGTTTAAGTGGAATTTACATTTTGGGAAAGAACTACCATGGGGCGATATTTGGGTCACTTTGAATAAGAATTTAGCAAATAGGAAAACTAAACAACTTCAATGGAAGCTACTTCATAATATAATTTACACAGAAGAAAAATTACAAAAAATGAATCGGTCAAACGGAAAGTGTCACTTTTGTAATGAAAAAGAATCACTGTTTCATCTTTTTATTTACTGTAAACTGGTGGAAGACGTTTGGAGGGAAATTTTTGAGAAAATATGGGAATTTTGTTCAAAATTGAGTATCGAAAAATTACAACAATCGGAAACGAGTATCATTTTGGGTGTCATAAATGCAGATACATCATATTCTCAAATTTTAGATACGGTGCTTCTTATCACGAAATGGGTTATTTGGAAAACTAGAAACATCGCAAAATATCAAAAGAAAGGGATAAGTAAACCAATGATTTTCAAGATGATAAAACATGAAATGCAATTTTTGTTCAAATCCCTTAAACCAAATACGAACAATGAAGCCATTTCTACTATGTGTGACACTTTTTGTATATAAATATATTTTGGCGTGGTCAGGCCAGTGTAATGACCTCTTCAATACTGAATAAATTATCATGCATTACTCTCAACTCCCTTTATATACTATGTATTTTCTTTTGTGTATGTAAATTATGTATAATTATGTATATTATATACTTGTAACAAGGACAGGTTGTATCAACAGGTACATATTAAAAGCAAATATTTACTTACCATATATCTTTGAAATAAATCATTTTTGGGAAACAAAATCTTAAATCCAACTTTTATGAAAGAACTACTGTAACACATTAATCTTCCTTTAAGTTAATTTTTAACGAGTAGCACGTGGCAAAAGATCACTGGACCAGAAATTTAAAGTAGTAGAAATTAACATAACAAAAAAACGGAGTGAAGTGCTATAAAATTGAGACTGCCTAATAAATACAGGTAGCTCTTTTGAGAGAAAAAAAAACTGATAGAATGAATACTTTATTCAAACGATTATATTTGGTGTGATATTAAAAATATATAGATAGATTATACTACATGTACATTAGTACAAAGATAGATGATATTTATAAAGATAGATGTTAATTATTAATAATGTGAGTTTTTTTTTTCTCATTTGCTTTTTCCCCGACAAATGAGCCTGTAAAAATCGGGGACCCCATTGTTGCTTCCCTGGGCAACTTAGGGTTGATGTAACAGGTGATTATTAATAAAATATGTTTAAAATTTAAAAAAAGAAAAAAAAAAAAAAAAAAAAAACTATATTTGGTGTATAGAATGATTGTAAGGTGTACATGTCTGTCTGGCAGGTATCATCTGACCTTGACCTCATTTTCATGGTTCATTGGTCAATGTTAAGTTTTTGTGTTTTGGTCTGTTTTTCAAGTGCTATATCAATAGGTCAACTATATTTAGTATATAAAATGATTGTAAGGTATACACGTCATTCTAGCCAGTATCATATGACCTTGACTCCATTTTCATGGTTCATTGGTCAATGTTAAGTTTTTGTTATTCGGTCTGTTTTTTCAAATACTTAAAGTAATAGGTCAGCTATATTTGGTGAATGAAATAATTGTAAGGTGTACATGTCTGTCTGGCAAGTATCATCTGACCTTGACTTCATTTTCATGGTTCATTGGTCAATGATAAATTTTCGTAATTTTGTCAGTCTATCAGATACTATAAGCAACAGGTCAACTATATTTGGTGTATTGAATGATTGTAAGGTGTACATGTCTGTCTTGCCTGGTTCATCTGACCATGACCTCATTATCATAAACTGTGATGATGTTAAGTTTATGTGATACTTCATGAATTCAATAAGTAAAACAGGCAAGACATTTCAGCGACACATTTCAGCATGTGTACTCTTGTCTGACTATAACTCAAAAATGCTTTGAACAATTTTCAGGAAACTTTGGTGAATTGTTTATATATATTGACATAAGTTCCCTTTTGATTTTTTTTGACAATAACTCAAAAATGCTTTGAGTAGTTTTCATGTTACTTTGGTGACTGGTTTAGTTTTATAAATTTTTGATATAACCTTTTAGAAGTTATGGAACTATTTCATTGAAAAAGCGACGGTTCGTATCATGTGCTCATGGTGCAGCTCTTTATCTACTCTATTTTACTTCTAGTGTGTGTTATAGTCTTACACTCATTATTTGAAGAAACAAATTGAATTTGACACTCACAGTTCATTCATCAGAGAGTTTGTATAGTTTTTTGATTAACCTGTTAGAGTCAGCTCTCCTCTTTAAAGTATGGGTCATGACTAGTATACATTAGATAAGTTTTGTAGCAGGTTTGATAGCTGTTAGAGACAAGTTAGGAGACATTACACACTTTATAATCATTAATTACTCTGTTCTTTTGTAGGTGTATCAAATATTACATACAGAACAGTATTATGAGAAATTTCTACAAAGTAATGTATATATGAAGTTAATGGAAGATTTAGGTCTGGTAAAGGAGGATAGGTTAGAGGAGGGGGATAGTATCAGTATTGATGATGGTAGGTATAACATTACAGAAATTAGAAAAAAAGTCTATGAAACATCAGTTATTATAGAGGGAAAAATGATAATGACTTTTTCGTCTCTAAGTTATCTAGCATTAAATTTCGGCACAAATGTCTAAGTAGATTAAATAAGATTTTAAAATTATAAAAATTAACGGTACTTGCATTATTTTTTTTTTCTTTACGAAAAAAAAAAACAAATTGAAGAGCAATAGGGTTTGGCTTAATACAGGCAGACAGGCAGACAGACAGACAGACAGACAGAATATTTTTTTATTATAGATTATTACATAATATAGCAATTAAATTTCAGGAGACATATCAGTTTACAATTAAGCAATATAGATCAAACAGACCTTCATGACCTTGGTGCCACAGTTATTTTGTTTAATGTCTTTTTTCAATAGTATAACAGTTTTAAGCAGAAGAATTTATGTTACTAGCATGCAATTACTGTTACTACACATTTGTATCTTAATCAAAATACCAACATAAAAAATATAATTCTATAACTATAAACTTAGACTGCAAAGTAAACTGGGAACTATATTGTTTTTAATAAAATGAATATATGAGCAAAGTTACAGATATCCTGCTTAGTTACATACACTGGTGGTGACATGAAAAACAAAGACATTCAGGAAAACAAATGATTAGATAATATGCAATACACAGACATCATACACACATTCAAATATTCACCATTAAACTAGTATAACATATGTGATCAGTATTCTGATATACATGGTCTGTTTGACAAAATAAATGTATCAATTTTGGTAATATATAATTTTATTATTGAATGTTGATATATGCATATTGTTTTTACAGTTCCTAGGATCATTTGGTTTAAAGTAGGTCAATATTTAGGATGAATTGGTCACATGTGTATTACTAATAGCATATAACAATGTTGCAACAGAAACAATTTACTATACCTAAATTATCTATAAAAAGTTGATTTAAAAAATTATCTTGCATATTGAATTTATATTCATTTGGTTTATAAGACTAATTACATTGTAATTTGAAAAATTACAATAAATTGTTTCTACATTTTAATTCAGTGCATTTTATATTATATAGGCATGATTGAGTGACTCAATTCATCTTGTGTGACAACTTTTTGTTGTTTTTTCTGTTATGGCTGTTTCAGATTTAGCTGCATGAATACAAAATTAGGCAAATGAAAATCACTAAAGCTACCAAAGAAATCTTTATTTTCATTATTAGGATTACATGTTGTTCTTAAATTAAAAATCCATAGAAAATTTCATATGAATGGTTCATAACTCATGAAAATAGTAACAAATTATTGAAGTCAACTGTGCCTTCTAGAATGAAAATAATTAGTAAATCAATAAAACCTATAGGACAAAGTTAAAAAGAGAACAATAGTGCCCTATATAGATTGAGTTCAAGGATAAAGTAGTGTAGGAAAAAGTCTTGTCTCTTTTTTAAAAATCTTTATGTGAAAAGGCTTAAGATACAGTTGGAAGTTAGTGATTTTTTTGTTTAAATTAATGCATGTTTTGTGTTGTTTTTTTAAAAGAACTCCTTATATTTTTTGATAGATAAGACAGATTTGAGAGGAGCATGTAGCCATTGCTTTATCTGTCTGTCTGAAACAAAGGGCTCTGCGCAATAATTGATTTTGACTCAACCAATTTCTCTTTCTTTGGCATTAGCAGTATTGACCATACAATACCAGAGAGGATTAATTTTTTCAGCAATTCCTGCTACTGTTTGGTAGTTTTATTTGTAAAAATCAGAAGATCAGCAAAAATGATGGTGACATTTGTTTGATTTGATAAATAGGATAAATACAGTAGGAAATAGTTAGTAACCTTAAAGTGTAGGTGAAAGATCATTACTCCAGTTCCGAGATATGTTAGTTAGTTGAATCTGTCGTGACTTCAAACACCATGTGACAAAAATGTAGGCATCGTCACTTCCAACACATGTTGAGCGATTGGGTGAAATAGTTTGATGCTATACTGCACAAAATATCCAGGAAATTAATATCTAATAAGATGGTCACCCTCTTTTTAGTTGTATGGGAATTGAGATTACGTACTTACCGAACATAGATTATTTCTAGACTACCCTGCAGAATAATGATCCTGAAAATACTTCAGACATTAATAGTGCAGGGATACAGGCGCGCCTTCTATCTGGTAAATGACGTCATAAGGGCGTGCATATTGATGATCTTTATGGTGAAAGACATGATTTGAGAAATAGCCTATGTTAGGCATCATGGCTCTAATGTTTCAGGAGTTACATCCCTTGAAACATGTAAAATCAGTTAAATTGATAGTTTCTTTACAATATCTTAACTTACTTTGATTAAAAGCTTTGAGGTGTTCCATTTTTATTAACTATTACCGAATATAGTTTAGTTTCAATTTCAAAATTGTTGCTTTCACTGTTCAGATGTTTTGCCTCTTGATAAAGGCATATTATAATTCCTGAAAAATTATGCTTTGCATATGATTTGAGCAAATGCTTTCATAATTTCTGATAATGCTGCTTACTTTTTGATACATTTTATTGCCAGGCATAGTTCTTTTTAAAAGGAATGCTGTCAAAATCTTTCATAAGAACATTATGTCTTGTTTGTAGACCACATAAAATTCAGAGATGCCAACTACTGGTATTTACCTGTTTTATTTGTAAACTGTCATATATACATGAGTGATGTGTAAGAAGCATAGTATTTCTGAAAAACATAATAATCTTTGTTAAAATATTTTTATATAATACCTAGTGTAAAATGATGATGACACCATATTATTTTCCTCAAGTACTATCTGCTGCAAAAGTTGTTTATTAACTTTTTGAATAAGGCTTAAATGACTTGATCCAAGTTTTATATAATACAATTTTTCATTGATACCTTAATTAGCAGTCACTATTAAGAGTGCATGATTTGTGATTTCTATCAGAAAAAGAAATGACTTATGTCCATATGCTTTGTTTATAGTATTGTTTATTAATTGTCAATAGATGTTTTATATGTTACAGCAAAATGTGTACACTGCAATGGGAACTCTTTCCTCATCAAGACCAAAAATAAATGACATAATATGAAGTTGTTGCAAAATGAATTGAGTCACTCTTTAAGAAAAACATTTTCTTTCTTTTTGTTTGCTGTTTATTTACCATTATGAAATTATTTGAATATTGATGGAAACTTAAATCAGATTTTCTATGGTAATATACAGCAAACTTGTCTTTGTCTTTGCTAGGATTTTAACATCTTAGTGTAATTTGCTTGTTTGCTTTTGCTCAGATATTTCACTGAAGTCCGGGTCATCACTTGGCGTAAGTTATTATATATAGTTTGAAGCAGTACTAAATCTAGATTATGTATTTCTAGTTTGTAGGGTGGTAATTTTCAATATTTTATAATGATTAATTTAAGATTAGATTTGAAATATTTTGCAGTATTTTTCAATAATGATTGATATTTTGTTGTGAAAAGCTTTAAATTAGAATTCTTTAAATTATTTCTATAACAAACAGGCATATACCGCACACTTTACAAAAATTATGAAGGATTTTGATTATAAATTATTACATTTTTTTAACTCTTGATCAAGAAACTAAATTTGTTATGTATTTCAACATTGACAGATTACAAAGTCACTGGTAAATTTTAAATTGCTTATTGTTTTTAATACTTTGAACTAAATGGTTGCTAGCACAATTAACAAATTAACATGAATTAATACACCAAAAACCTTTCCTTGTGCAGAATATGATATATGTGTGTCTTAACATGATAAGTATATACTTCATGATATCTCTGTTTTGGTCTTCTCTCAGTGTGGAAAGTAATTTATTTTTATTATGTTAAATATTTGGTGAGATTGCAATGTGAACAAATAGTGGAGTTTTGTGACATACCAACCATTATTTTGATAAAACAACAATTGAAACCTTTTTATCTTTATAAGTTTATGTAATATTCACAGTCAGATGAAAACAAGAGAAAAATAAAGATATTGAAAGAAAAAGTTAACCAATACATCCTTTTTCAACATCCATTTTAAAGTTGTTCTATCTGTTAAGAAATAAATTGACTAAAGATTCTTCTCTACATTTGAATAACTTTTTTGCACTGGTGGTCTCTTTAGAAAATATATTGGCTTGATTTGATATAATATAAAGCCTAGAAAATGTAGACATTGCCATACTTCTTACTTAGTATATATTTGAAGTGTTAGAAGCTTCTGCTGTTGTATACACAGATATTCTATTTGCCAATGTATTTTAATATAGTTACTGTGTTTCCACTAAAAAATACTAACTCATTTGCATAAGTGTTCTATTTGGGCTTAAAACATTTTCTACAACTGTTTCATAACTTTCTTCAGCCAGTCTGATTCTTCAATTTTCATACTTTTATTGCAATTACATGATTTAAAAGAGATTTGGGGTATATATGAATGAGAAGCAACCCAAAGACACAAATACTGAAAAGATATAATTCATTTATCAGGGAAATTGAAGGGACTATTAAAGGACCTTGGTGTCTGAAACACACTTACATCCAAACATCCCAGTGTTTTGTTGATCCATTTAGGTACTGACCATGTACCATAAGATGAAGGTCACATGACTCATATTTCTTTCAAGTACAATTATTTTATGTCCAAGTTTAGTTCTCAAAACACAAAGTGGCTTACAGTCATATATCTTAGTTTAAGGATGCATCATATATTTTAGTTTAAGGATGCATCATATATCTTAGTTTAAGGATGCATCATATATCTTAGTTTAAGGATGCATCTAGATGAGTACAGCAACTTCAACAAAACAGGTCATGTTGGTCTATATTTTACACTTCATTGACTGGATATTAAATTATGTAAGGATATAAGTTCATATATCTTGACACAATGATGCATCTAAGTGAAAATAAGTCAGTCACTCGGTCTTATTGGGTACATCATTGACACATATTAACCTAAGTGTTACAATTGAGTTTAATTCTCAGATATTGAGTGACTTACAAACTTTAAAGCCTATCTACATGTCAGTTCAGAGAGGTTGGTCATATTTACAGAAGTTCAGAAATTTGTTTCTGTACCTTTAAATTTTCTCACTATGAAATGTATATACCAATATTAGAAAAGTTTTTAATCATTTTTACACATTTTTTAAAAATTCAGTAATTATCACATAATTTAAAGGAGAACATGTATTATCTTTTGTCTTCTTACATAGTTTGATTAATAGAATACAACAAATGTTTCAATGAAGAAAGATGACACTGTGTTACAAAATCAGCATGTACAGTATGTTTTCTCACTTTTATGCAATTTTAGGTTATTATGCATGTGTATATTTGTGTTTTAATTAAATTTGCATATTTCAGAATGAAGATTTAGCAAATGATTCTTCAGATGAAATTCCTGCCCCAGCATTGAAATCAAACATGTCTCAATATGATGATGAAGTGTTCATCTCTGCCTTTATCTCACAAACAGGTATCAATTATATGTCTTTCTTAACTTCAAGTTAAAGTAAATGACACAGACTGTCTAGAGTTTGAAGTTAACCTGTGACAAAAATAAAACATCTATCTGTGATACTCCATTGTACTGAGGGAGTTTACCAGAACCCAGTTGTTCATCTTTTGATCAATGAAATAAAACCAAGGGTTACACTTTTAACAATGGTTATATAATTTCAAAACAAAGAATTTTAAGACTTTCCTAGGATCTTAGAAAACTTTTTGCTTTCTAGGATCCTAAGAAAGTCTTAAACTTTTTGCTTTCTAGGTCAAAGTTCATTATTTGGTTAAACTTTAACTCGGACATGACAGAGATGGCCCTTTGATTTGAAAAAAAAACCTGTTATGTTGAATTGTATATCATTATAGATAAATACACTCATGATCATTTACTTATAAAAGGGTTCCAAATTATATACTGGACATGATTTGGTAATTTGTTATACCCTGTTTAACATGATTGTGTTTCTATAGTGATACACATGTCAGACTGTCCGGTTTGCTTATCCAAAGTCAGAATGATAATTATAATATTGCTAACAAATCGATAAAAATTTTAATGGAATTGTGTGGACTCTTTAATAAGGGCTGAATTCGATTTTCTTTGCTCTCACAATTCCCAGATAAAGTTATGATCATTTATTTTGTAAATTATGAGAATTGTTTGATTTCCAGATCATAAATAAAGAACTTCTCAACCCAATGAGTTTTGATTGGATGCTGATTTGATTGTAACCATGTCAGATTAAGGCCTTTATTTTATACGAATAAATAGTAAATAAAGTGGTAAACAGACAACAAAACACAAATTTCATTGAATTTCCTCAATTTCACTTCTTATGCTTATTAGTTATCTTGAGGGGTATACTTGACCACAAGACAAACTTTATCTTGTTTATAGGTTATCATGTAGTTTTGGACTTTTGTGAATGAATTATCACACTGATTTGAATACTGTAAATTCAGAAATTATTGCGAGCGTTAATTTTTGCAATTTTTGAAGAATGGGCAATAATGTGAGATTAATTATTGCGATATCAGGAAAATCTGTATACAGATATATTATCAGATATCATAATGCGACTTCTTATTCTTATTAGTAATCACATTTATTTGAATAATCAAACTGATTAACATCATTAGAATGATTTATTAATGTAATTTGGGTATAAATTCTGTTATTAACCATTATTTTTAAAAGTCTGTGATGATTAGTTTCTAGATAAGTGCTCTCACTCTATTGATCAGCCATAGGTAATACTTATTTCACCATGTAATACAACCTTTCTTTTACTATTGAAAATAAAATATAAGTCAACTATTTTTCTTCCTCTTTAATTTGCATCTAAAAAGTTTTGAAATATTAACTTGAATTGGGAAAGTACTTTTAATGGAAGATTATTACAGGTATTGTAAAAGAAGCAGAGAAATCAGGAAAGACGTATGCTGTGTTTGCTGTCAGAGTTACAAAGAAAGTCAACAGTGAAGACGATATTCAGGAAATATACCGTAGATATAGTGATTTCCATGATCTCAATATGTTAGTACAAGAAAAAGTAAGTCACATGCATTAAGAAATTATTTTTGAGGTGTTTCAGTTAAAAAATTGATTTGCAGAAGTAGAGAATTATGAAGTACACAAATATACCCATTATATGCTAGAATTCATCAGTTATAATAACATGTTATGGAATTTAGATTATACCACAGTTGCACAATGATGTGTAGAAAGTAACAAACACACAAACAAATAAGCACATTTATTAGACAGTGATCTTTTGAGGCTGAGTTTATTGTTTTTATGGCCCCGCCACAAAGTGGTCTTGGCCATATAGTGTTACCCTTATCTGTCATTCCGTCATTCTGCAGCGAACAGTTATACAGAGTTTTTTTGTAAACGCCTTCTCTTATTGAGCTGATTTTTAGTATGTGAGTCTACTATGATGAATTACAGATCGAGTTTACGTTTGGTACCGCTCTTCTGATTTTCGCCAAAATTACGGGCTTTGGACTTTGAAAATTTCGTGAAAATAACAGTTATACAGACTTTTTTTCTAAACAACTTTACATATTGAGCAGATTTTTACTATGTGAGTCTACTATGATGACTTACAGATGGAGTTTGGGTTTGGTTCCACTCCTCTAATCTTTGCAGAAATTATGGGCTTTGCACTTTGAAAATTTTGTGAAAATAACTGTTATACGGGCTATTTTTTTAAATGCCTTCACATATTGAGCTGATTTTTAGTTTGATGAGTTAAAGATCTAGTTTACGTTTGGTTCCGCTCCTCTGATTTGTGTCGAAATTATGGGCTTTGGAATTTGAAAATATCGTGAAAGTTATACAGACTTTAATTCTCAAATTTCCACTCCTAAAAATGGCTTCAAGTTTTTTTTTGCAAGAGGGACCTTTCATGTCGTTCTGACACATCTAGTTTTTATTTTACCATAATGAAGGTTTGAAAGTAGTTCTGTCAGCATTAAGCAGCTAAGCATGCAAACCCAAGACCATGAGTTTAAATATTTAAGAAACATGTATAACTTATAGCTTGCTGTTTGGTGTGAGCCAAGGCTCCGTGTTGAAGACCATACTTTGACCTATAATGGTTTACTTTTATAAATTTTGACCTGGATGGAGAGTTGTCTCATTGGCACTAATACCACATCTTCTTATATCTATTTGGGTTTCATTTTAGTTTCCAGATTTACCTGGGCCAGGTTTGCCTGGTAAAACAGTATTGAAGAATATGAACCAAGAGTTCTTGGAGAAGAGGAGAAAATCTTTAGATAATTATTTACAGGTAAGAAATTTAAACATTGCTGCATGTGGCTTTCAACAAATATACAATACATGTAATCTACATTGAGTGCCTTGATAATCAAAATATGTCTTGTTTAATACTCAAAATATGTCTTGTTTAATATTTTATAATGTACAGCAGATGAATATTCAAAAACATATTTCTTAGACTGATGTATTTTATAATGATGGTGCTATTCAAAACAGTAATTTTGAAAAATTGCCTTTTCATAGAAAAGAACATATTTACTGGGGTTAATTTCAATTTTCATTACAAATATTGAGTAAAACTCACATATGAATATAAAATACAGCTAAAGCTGTTTTTTTTTTGTGGGGGGAGGGTTTGTGGTGTTCCAAAAAAAAGTATTATTTAGGTCAAAGAGCAAAAAGAGTCCCATTACACAGCAAACAAAAGAAGAGTACAGATTTATAAGTAGAAAATGATCTAAACAGTCAATATTATAATGAAGATAGTGAATGGTTATTATCACCAAAGGCAAATTAATGTTCAAAAGAAATTTCAGTTTTATTGCAGAAAATACAGTGTTAAACTTTGTAGCAAAGACATTTGATATTAGAAATTATTTAATTACTCTTAGATTTGTTGTTTATATACATTTAAGATTAAGGAACTTAGTTGAATATTTCTGGATACAAAATTGGTTTGAATAATTTTGAAATTCATTGTAAAGAATAATATTGTTAAAAAAAGAAATGCAAAAGTTATATTTATATTAGAGTGTTTATCAAAATCTTGAAATAAAAAAGTCAAGATATATGCACAAATTACATAAGATACATGTATGTGCAATAAATCATCTCCCTTTGATTTCCATTATTATACTCTGTGAAAGGGTTTTACTCAAATAACAAATATTTTGACACTTTTTATTATATAAAGGACGATATTTTCCTTTCCAGAATTTACTAAATCCTCAGCTTTGGGAAGAGAACAAAGGCTTAAAAGATTTATTGATGAAATTTTTAGCTCAAGGATTATGGGAAAAACATAAGAGTGACCTAGCGAGAAAGGTAAAAATAATTTATTTATCCTAGTTGTAACAGTCATATGTAATGTGTTAAATAAAAATAAGAAGTGGTATAATTTCCAATGAGACATCAATCCACCAAAGACCAAATGACACAGATGTGATCAATTAACAAACATTGCCAACCATCAACAATGGGTAAAACCTATACTGCATAATCAGTTATAAAGCCCTGGGTTGACAATATGTGAATCGGTTTAAAAGAGAAAATCAATTGCCTTATTTATGGTAAAAACACTACATCATAAACAATTATTGGAAATTTGGGCACATAAATAAAGGGGCAGGGTTAACCTTTTTTTAGCACTCAGCCCTCCTTATTCTTTGGTACACCTTTACAGTTGATATCAGAATACTTTGAAATGTAAACACATAGTATCAGAAAATGATTTTGTAGGAAATCAGTGGAATACATTTTAGCATTTGTATTGGTTTCTGACTAAAAAATAAGGAGCATTGGGTTTAGTTACATGTATATCATCATATACAAAATTAATATTGTAAAAAGACACAAAAATTGGAAAATGTGAATATATTGTTTTTCCATTGCTGTTTATTATACAACATTGTGTACATCTTGATTTTTTCTATTATCTTTCTGAAGAAATGATTCCATAGGATAACATACATGTTAAATATTTCACATTTTCAAAGGCTCAACTGGTCTGATTAAATACTTGTATGTCTCTTCCTTCTCTTCATGGTACTTACAGATGTGTGTGTGTCAAGGTGCTGACATTCTCCTAACGTATAGGTGTAATAGACAACAATGTCTCTTCCTTCTCTTCGTGGTACTTACAGACTTGTGTGTCAAGGGGCTGACATTCTCCTAACATATAGGTGTAATAGACAACAATGTCTCTTCCTTCTCTTCGTGGTACTTACAGACATGTGTGTCAAGGGGCTGGCATTCTCCTAACATATAGGTGTAATAGACAACAATGTCTCTTCCTTCTCTTCCTTCTCTTCGTGGTACTTATAGACGTGTGTGTCAAGGGGCTGACATTCTCCTAACGTATAGGTGTAATAGACAACAATGTCTCTTTGTGGTACTTACAGACATGTGTGTCAAGGGGCTGACATTCTCCTAACATATAGGTGTAATAGACAACAATGTCTCTTCCTTCTCTTCATGGTACTTACAGACATGTGTGTCAAGGGGCTGACATTCTCCTAACATATAGGTGTAATAGACAATAATGTCTCTTCCTTCTTTTCGTGGTACTTACAGACGTATGTGTCTAGGGGCTGACATTCTCCTAACATATAGGTGTAATAGACAATAATGTCTCTTCCTTCTATTCATGGTACTTATAGACGTGTGTTTCAAGGGGCTGACATTCTCCTAACATATAGGTGTAATAGACAACAATGTCTCTTCCTTCTCTTCATGATACTTACAGATGTGTGTGTCAAGGGGCTGACATTCTCCTAACATATAGGTGTAATAGACAATAATGTCTGTTTTTTTTTATTTTAATTACATTGGTAGATGTTTTAGGTGCTTCTAAGAATCACTTCCAAATATTTTAATTGTCTTCTCCAGATGGACACAATAGTAAACCCCCTAAGGACAGCAGGAAGAGCCATTGCACCAGAACATATTGTAGATGGACTTGGAAGGAAATTTAGGAGTGTAAGTTTTAGTTCAGTAAAACATGTCTCTTAATAGAACCAATTACAGATTCAGAGATCTAGCTTTAAAGTCATTCTCCCATCTTTCGAGAATTTGTTTTCTTCATTTATGTGTAAAAGCAGACATTAAAAAAACATTCTTATGATGTACTGTTACACCCCTGTCCCAGGTAGGGGGAGGGTTTGGCACCAGCAAACTAGTTTAACCCTGCCACATTCTGTGTGTGCCTGTCCCAAGTCAGGAGCCTATAGTTCAGTGGTTGTAGTTGTTCATGTCTGTCATATTTGTTTTTCATAAATTGTTTTGTTATGAATTAGGCCGTTAATTTTCTCAATTGAATAGTTTCATATTTTTCTTGTCAGGGCCTTTTATAGCCACCTAAACTGTATGGGGTTTTGTCATTGTTTAAGGCCATACTGTTGCCTAAAAATGCTTACATCCACTTCATTTGTACTTTGGTGGATAGTTGTCTCATTGGCAATCATACCACATCTCCTTATTTTTATATAAAAGATCAGCATCTGATTAATTTTACGGATGGGTTACTACCCTCTGGAAATAAACCATTCAACACATACTCTTTTTCAAGAAGGGGAGTGGTGAACATGTTTTATTTTTTTAATGTAATTATTTTTCTGGTTTCCCACAGACAGAGATTTTAATTTTGGTTTAGGGAGCAAATGTCAGCTACTCGACACAAACATTTTTTTTTTGCTTTTTTGCTGTGCTCACATGCAGGAAAATCTTCATAATGTGACTTTCAGCTAGTAAATTACAATATCAAAACCTAATATGCCTAACTAGACTTAATCTGGCTGCAGTGCTATAAAGAGAAAACAATTCTTTATTCTTATAATTGGCCAGGCTGGAAAAAGATCAAAACTGGCTTATATTATGTAATGACAGATGGATGGCGGTCACACACTTTGGAAAAGATGGGGTACCTAATTTGTGTAATCAATTCCTTCTACAAATGCCTAAAAGTTCATGGGAAGATTGCACATATGTTCAAGTTGTGCACCTGCTATTATAAAAATTTTTGAGGATTTTTTTTTCTCATTTTAAAATAATTGGGAACATAGTCATTTTTCAGCAAAATTTATGAAAGAGAGTACAAGTCATGTGTAATTAACTTTTCTCCTACAGTTTTCTACTCAGAGGGTCAATATACGCAATTCCACAATGGTAGCCTTTTCTTCATTTTCCCTGTCCATATCATAAACTTGGGTTTTTACGATGGCTCGTTTCAAAACTGAGACATTTTCACATATGTGGTTGAATTTTCAGGGTACCTCTTCAGCAAGTAAAAATTCCCTTTTCTCACACAGTTAAACTCCCAGAAAATTCAGTTCTTAACTCTTACCATGCTAAATTGTTTTCAGAAAATGTCTAATTTTCGTTTATTTGCAAATAAATGCAAATTATATGCAAATGGGCTATACCTTGCTGCAGGTGCTTGTTGATGCTATGAAGCTAAGATAGGGGATTAGGGGGCAGTGTAGGTAGGGTAAGGAGGCAGGAGTGGGTGGGCAGAATGCTGCCCCAAAGTTGGTCATCTGGTGGGAACAGCGTTGATTTAGCCCTATTTCTTGACCTGGAAGACTAAGGGATGCTGATAGATATATCCTACTGTAGTCTGCATGTAGAGTGAACCCCAATGAACACTAAACCAGACCCCTGTAACTTCACAGGAAGTTTGCACATATGTTGAAGTTGTATACCTGCTATTATGGAATGTTTGAGGAATATTTTCTCTTTTTTCCAGACTTGGGAACTTAGTCATTTTTCAGCAAAATTTATGAAAGAGGGTACAAGTTTTCAACCCAGATACCTGAAACTTCACAGGAAGATTGTACACATGTTAAAGTTTTTTCACAATTTTCCAGACTTGTGAACTGACAATTCTTTTTTAATTTTTCCAGACTTAAAAAATTACGAATTTTTCATAAGATTTATGAAAGAGGGTACATATTTTCAACCCAGATCGTGATATTTTCCTGACTTGGGAACTAAGTTATTTTCAAGCAAAATTAACAACCTTCATGTAATTGCAACTACATTGTAAGCATTCTACATTGATTAGTCATAAATATTGCAACCCAGCCATTTGAGACTTTGATCCAATTTTTTCCTAACTACCATATTCAGGCACTTTGATTGGTGTTAATGATGAAAATTGAAGATTAGCCTCTTTACAGTCAGTATGTGTTCTTTGATATATGTACAGTTGAACCTCGTTGTGTCGAACTCTGTTGTGCCGAAAACTCGGATGAGTGGAAGTAATTTCTTGGTTCCGTTAAAATTCCCGTTTGATCAATGCATTTGATTTTAATACTCGGTTAAGTCAAGTAAATTTTATAGTACTGTCAATGTAAAATTAATGTAAATTGACCCCGATGTCTCGAATGTTTCGTATCTGTACTTGTGTGTTTTCAATTATTATGAAGGACCAAAACAATATGGAGATTGAATACACAATCATAAAGTGTCATATTGTTCAAAGTATATAGTTTACACAAATCTCATACCGTATTTCTTGCATTCAAAATTTATGAGACACACTCAACCTCGGATGAGTCGAACCTTGGATAAGTTGAATACTTTTATCAGTCCTTTGACTTCTACATAACGAGGTTCGACTGTACATTATTGTATATATGCAATTACAACTATATTTATAATCACAGAATAAGCACATCATAAAATAGAAACAAACATACAATTATGTTACAATATTTTAGGATTCTTTGGGAGACAGGGAGAAATTGGAAAGTGGAAAAGTTGCAGCAAGTATAGACCAGGCAGTAAGTTAGATTAATGTGACCTAAGACTGTATAAACTTAAAATTATTGCAAGACAAATAGCTTTGAAGACTTCAGTAGATTCAATTGTTTAATTTTGAACTTGGTACAATACCTAAAGAAAAACTAAGGGGTCATCCATAATTGTCAACCATTTTCCAAAGTGTACAAAACATACACTTTTTCAGACCCCCCACCCTCCCTCAAAAAGTGTACATCAACCATTTTCAGATTTCAAGACAAGAATCCATCATTCTTAATAAAAAGAAGATCCTGTCTATTATAGTTTAGTTTAATACAGAAATTTGCATTGAAAATAAACTGAAAAATATCTGACTGTTTTATTTAATGTCATCTATCTGTGATGCTTGTGTTTTGTCAGAATAAAGTGTATAAAGATACCATAATGGTTTCATCGCGGTAATAAAAAAAACCGAACCCTGCGGAAACGAAAAAATTCCGGAAATAAAAAAAAAAAGCGTACGGTAAAATTGTCGATTTTTTAACCCTCTCCCCCCAAGTGTACGTTTTGTACACTTTGGAAAATGGTTGACAATTATGGATGACCCCTAAATAGGTATTACATTAAAACTTAATTACTGCATTTTTGTTGTTCAATAAGATATTTAGGTTCAAGTCAAATTAAGTCAGTTCATTTGATAAAAATGATTTCAGATCGTGCACATTCATATTAATAAAAAAATAAGAAGATGAGACAACTCTCCACCATAGACCAAATGATGTAGAAGTTAACAACAGTTCTAAAGGTTACCATACAGCCTTCAACAATGAGCAAAACCCTTACCGCATAGTAAGCTATACAAGGCCCCGAAATGACAAAGGTAAAACAATTCAAACAAGAAAAGTAACAGCCTGATTAATGTACAAAACAATAATAAATAAAAAAAATATGATATACAGCAAAAAACAACAACCACTGAATGACAGGCTCCTGACTTGGGACAGACACATACAGATTGTGGCAGGGTTAAACATGTTTGCTGGTGCCAAACCCTCCACCTAACCTGAGTTAGTTGTGTAAGCATGTTTGTCCTATATTTAAAGATTAAATAAAATAAATTGAATGTCAAGCTGCATTTAGAAATGAAAATGTCTAATGTAGTTAAGTTATGTTGATTTACATTTTAATTTCTTTTTGTATTTCTACAGGCGGGAGAAAACATACCTTTAAGAATTATGTTATTGTTGATGGATGAAGTCTTTGATCTTCAACATAAGAATCAGTGGTTACGTCGGAGAATTGTTCCCATATTACGTCAGTTGTTAAAAGCCACATATGGTGATACCATTAACAGGTATTGGTTAGAGAGAAACACAATGGTGTAATAAATCAGGAAATATCATAATAAATGATTTTCCAAAGAATAAAATGCTCTTCTTTTTCACACCACTAGACTATTGTTTTTATGGAAAATTAGAGAATGCACAAAAATGAAAACAACACATTGTAAATTTCATGCGTCCGAAGGGCTTTTCTGGTTTGTAATAAATCATGTCAGTACCGAAGTACTGACTACTGAGCTAATGATACTCTCAAGGACTGATAGTCCACCAGCAGAGGTATCTACCCAGTGCTGTAAAGAAAACTTCACCCTTACTTTATAAAAAGAAAAGCTTTTTTTGCTGTTTGTTCTGTTTGAAAAAAAAATAATATTACCCAAAGGGTTTTATAAAAAATATATTTGCTCTCCAAAAAACTAGCAAATGGCAAAAGGAAAATGGATGGTGAAACCATGTAATATTCCACAAAACATTACTGCAGCTTCTGCAACAGCAACTCCACTATAACCCAAGGTATACTCAGATGCTTCTGAGCAGTTCTTGCTATAATTGTGGCACCTGTCAGGAATGTCTTCCCTTATCATACTTTGATTGTGACATTGTGTTGATTGACATCTGAAAAAATCATAGTTTAAATACGTAAGCAAACATCAGTAACAAATTTTTCGAAGTGGAATTCCGATTTCAATATATTTGGGTCGACACACTAGGATTTAAGTGAGTACCTAGTTAAGTTTAAGCTTGTAGATATTCATTTTGAAATACGTCTTTCTTTTAAGGAAAATTGTGGAGCATGTCGACTGGATGACATCTGCTGAACAAATGGCAGAATACATTAAAAAGTTAAGGTAAAGATTTAATAGGGAAAGTGAAATACAAAGAATACTACTATGTATGTATGTACTTGATCTTGGTCACATTTTCAAAAATGAAATAAAAATCAATGTATGAAACACAATTATGTGACTGGAAAGAATACTAGATGATAGGATTATGAAATAAAATAATGAGCAGATAGTTACTAAATACTTTCAGAGAATAAAAAGACAAAATTGGGTCACTAAACTTATTTTTTTATTGCAGCATAACATATTTCTTTTTTGTTTTCTGAGTTATCTGCCCTTAAAGTGTATATTTTTTTAAAGGTTTTGAATCAATAAGAAGTAAGATATTTGAGAAAATATTTCTACTATAGGGTAAATTATATGAATTTTGTCATTTAGATAAAAAGTCTGGCATAGAATTTGCCTTTTTTTTTTTCAATAAAATCTGGAGCAATTGTTAATTGTCATTTATAATGCAACCTTAATTGGGAATGTGACCGTAATATATACTGTAAGTTCAGAAATTTTTGTGAATTTTAAACAATGGACAAAAATGTGAGATCAAATTTAAAAAGTGATTTTTTATTTTTGCATAACTTATCCCTTTGCAGTTTTCACAATAATTAAATCAGGCAAAAATTTCTGAATTTACAGTAGATTGTAATTGGATGGAAATGATCAGCTGTTTGACTTGCATTATTTTACAATGTTTAGTGTTATTAGTTGTGTAATTATACAGACTAAATGTATGATCATGGACTTGACTGTAATTTTAATTTTGATATTTTTATTTCATATATATTGGAATAGTAAGATTCAACTCATATCCTTTCTGTTGTTAAAGAGAATCTTAATTGTTTCCATTCATTACAGAGACGCTTTCTGGCCTGACGGTGTCCTGGCAGAGCCAAGAACAGAGAGGGATCACAATACTAAAATGAGGACACGGATTGTTTGTAAAGCCAAAATGTTAGGTAGTATCACTGGTAAGTAAGGAAGGTTTAAAAGATTACATTTTTAACACATCTTTTTTGACATATTTGTATTGATTTTTTTTTGTGAGAAAGATTTGCAAAATTGAAAAAAAAGTGGTTTCATATGACTATGAAGAAACGCAAATACCAATCACACATGCAGAAAACTTAAACTAGATCTTAATGAAAAAAAATATTTTTCATGACAAATGTTTATCATGGCTTCTTAAAAGGTTTTATGCTGGCATTTATCAAAAACAGCTTGTTTTAGAAACCAGTAGTTAAACATATTGTAAATGATATTACTTTTCAAATGTATTTATGTTTATGGTACTTTTTCAAAAGAAAATGTCACTTAAGACAGGTTAAAAGTACGGTTCTGTACGGGGAAATGTCACTTAAGACAGGTTAAAAGTACGGTACTGTACGGGGAAATGTTAATTTAAACAGGTTGAAACTTCTGTTTTGAAAGGGGAAATGTTACTTAAGACAGGTTGAAATTGCTGTTTTGAAAGAGGAAATGTCACTTAAGACAGTCTTGTTAATACTTCATTAACTATCCCACATATATAACTTAGTTGCCATTAAAGGGGGGGCTCAGTCTCTCCCCTTATGGAGCTACATATATGGTAGATGCAGAGACTTTTTACATGTTCTTCTAATGTTGCCTAGTTTGGGGGCACCACTTTTCAAAGTCCTGGATCCACATCTGTTTTCTATACAAAATGTAACATCAGGCAAAGAGCCGACTGAAATGAGTATAAACATATTTGTCTCTTGTTTTACAGATGAAATGAAGACATTAATGGGACAAGAGGCAATAAAGAAAGGAGTGACTCGTGTGTTTGATATGTTTCAGCATAGGAATTTAAATAGAAGACTTGTTTATGTGTTCTTGGAAGGTGTTATAATTACACTTTTTCCACACAACAAATTTTCAGACCTATTTTGTAAGTTACATTCCAGATCATCACGATTAAAAGCTAAAGAAGAATTGGCAAAATCTGCCTCAATGAAAGACTCAGGCGTTCGCAAGAGGACAACAAAACGGTGATACAGGGCTGTGATAGTTGTATTCATTTGTTGATATGAGATTTATTTATTTATTGCACATTTTTATGTAATGTTTTAAACCATATTTCTGTATCATAGTTTTGAACTAATGGTAATCTTAGAAATGCAAAAGGAAAACAAAAGATATTTGAACTTATGGTAATCTTAGAAATGCAAAAGGAAAGTGAAAGATGTATATGAAAGGTATAATTAAAAATCCTGTTATGCTTTTTTAAATAATTATTGTATTTTAGAATTAGGAGAGTGATTTTTTTGTTGTTATGACTAATTTTATACAGTCCCAGTGATTTACAACTTTCATTGTGTCGTAACTGCAATCACAAGTCATAGCTGTATACAGTGCTAATTAGCATTGTTTTGTTGTTCCATGTCATTGGGTTGCTGTCTCATGGATGAAAACCAATCATTCCATTTATTAATATTGGTATCAAAAGTTTCATTTTTTTACACATCTTTAATATTTTTCAACAAAACATCACATAAGCTGCATTCAGTGTCATGCATCAGTTGTCAATAAAAAAGACATATATAGGTTATAATTATTTATTATATTTTAAAAGTAAGATATAACCTGGGATGAATCTATAGGTTTCTTCTATTTGCCAATTGCAAGGTAGACTTCATTATATATGATGTATGTTGCAAAGTTCAAAACCATGATAAAGAATTACCGGTAGAATATTTATTTTTAGACCATTTTACATCATTTTATTAATAATTGTTTATCATCCTATTTTACCATGGGGCAGTGTGTTGCATATATTATAAAACATCTTTATTGATAAACAATGGTTTGTACTTTTAATTAAAGCAAGTTAAATTTTGTGTAAAATGTTTGTGACATTATTCTATTTTTCTGCACATTTTAAATTGTGTAAAATTTTGTAAAGGGTATTTCTTTTTTGTTAGGCTTGAATATTAACCGTATGTTATTAATTGATAAACTATAACTTATCAAACAATTACTTGATTCACACAGGAGGAAAAATGTGCACTGCCACTGTAAATTGTTCTTGTGTCTTCTGCATTCAACAGCACTATGAACTGTTTTTAGTCCCCTACCGACGAAGTCGAAGGGGACTTTAAGTTTGCACTCCGTCTGTCTGTCTGTCTGTCCGTCTGTATGTCCTTCTGTCACTCAGGCAAATCAGCTTTCCACACTTTTTTTCTTCATGCTTGAAGATATTGATTTGATATTTGGTATATTGTTTTATCATGACAAGTTACAGATCAAGTTCGAATTTTGTTCCGGTCTGATAATTTAGTCCAGAGTTATGGACCATAACTCTGGACCATATCTAATGCTAAGTTAGAGTACTATGTTAAACCATATTTCTGTACAAAGGGAGATAACTCATTTTTTAAAAGACATTCATTGTTAAATTATTTGAAGAATTTTTTAGCAGGTTTGTTTGTTATTTAGTATAAACTAATTTTCTGAATGCTATATATATATAAAGACAAATTTATGAAGAGAAATCCTTTAATTAGATAATAATCTATTTTTATTAATGTATATATTTCAATACATGACATTGTGTAGATAAATGTTGTTGACATTTTATAGATAAGTTACAAATCTATATTATTTTGTGACAAATGAAAGAAAAAATATTTGGAACTATTAATTATATTTGATTATAATTTGAAAATAGATATACACTATATTACATCATATCTAATTTTAGAGAACTATTAAACATATCTAATGTTTTTTTTTCACTCATATAATCAGTTTTCCACACTGTTTTTAGTCATGCATGTAGATATTGACATGATATTTACTTTTTGTTTACACCATGACAAGTTATAGAACAAGTTAGCATTTTGTTCCAGTAAAACAAATTTTTACCCGGTAGGGGACTATGTATTGCCATGCAATACTCTCAGAATGCTTGTTATTTTGATAGTACAAATCAGTTGCTAAATTCTCATTACAGCAATATGAATTACACACAGTTTTACAATAAAATGAATATTTAGCTTACTCCTTCTGGTTTAAAGAAATCAGTTGCGACAGGTGGGTTATTTTATTTTTTTTATTAGAGATGGTTTTCAATATAGAAGTTTTATAACAGACAAGAGAGACAAGTGAAATGTTAGCTATTTATTCTGTTATAACTGTTAGTCTAAATTATCCAGGACAACAAGGCTAACTAGCAGCGTATAAATTATCCAGGACAACAAGGCTAACTAGCAGCGTATAAATTATCCTGGACAACAAGGCTAACTAGCAGCGTATAAATTATCCTGGACAACAAGGCTAACTAGCAGTGTATAAATTATCCAGGACAACAAGGCTAACTAGCAGCGTATAAATTATCCTGGACAACAAGGCTAACTAGCAGCGTATAAATTATCCAGGACAACAAGGCTAACTAGCAGCGTATAAATTATCCTGGACAACAAGGCTAACTAGCAGCGTATAAATTATCCTGGACAACAAGGCTAACTAGCAGTGTATAAATTATCCAGGACAACAAGGCTAACTAGCAGCGTATAAATTATCCAGGACAACAAGGCTAACTAGCAGCGTATAAATTATCCAGGACAACAAGGCTTACTAGCAGCGTATAAATTATCCAGGACAACAAGGCTAACTAGCAGCGTATAAATTATCCAGGACAACAAGGCTTACTAGCAGCGTATAAATTATCCTGGACAACAAGGCTAACTAGCAGCGTATAAATTATCCTGGACAACAAGGCTAACTAGCAGCGTATAAATTATCCAGGACAACAAGGCTAACTAGCAGCGTATAAATTATCCTGGACAACAAGGCTAACTAGCAGCGTATAAATTATCCTGGACAACAAGGCTAACTAGCAGTGTATAAATTATCCAGGACAACAAGGCTAACTAGCAGCGTATAAATTATCCAGGACAACAAGGCTAACTAGCAGCGTATAAATTATCCAGGACAACAAGGCTAACTAGCAGCGTATAAATTATCCAGGACAACAAGGCTAACTAGCAGTGTATAAATTATCCAGGACAACAAGGCTAACTAGCAGTGTATAAATTATCCAGGACAACAAGGCTTACTAGCAGCGTATAAATTATCCAGGACAACAAGGCTAACTAGCAGCGTATAAATTATCCAGGACAACAAGGCTAACTAGCAGCGTATAAATTATCCAGGACAACAAGGCTAACTAGCAGCGTATAAATTATCCAGGACAACAAGGCTAACTAGCAGCGTATAAATTATCTAGGACAACAAGGCTAACTAGCAGCGTATAAATTATCCAGGACAACAAGGCTAACTAGCAGCGTATAAATTATCTAGGACAACAAGGCTAACTAGCAGCGTATAAATTATCCAGGACAACAAGGCTAACTAGCAGCGTATAAATTATCTAGGACAACAAGGCTAACTAGCAGCGTATAAATTATCCAGGACAACAAGGCTAACTAGCAGCGTATAAATTATCCAGGACAACAAGGCTAACTAGCAGCGTATAAATTATCCAGGACAACAAGGCTAACTAGCAGCGTATAAATTATCCAGGACAACAAGGCTAGCTAGCAGCGTATAAATTATCCAGGACAACAAGGCTAACTAGCAGCGTATAAATTATCCAGGACAACAAGGCTAACTAGCAGCGTATAAATTATCCAGGACAACAAGGCTAACTAGCAGCGTAGTTCCAGTTGAGTACTTTATAGTACCATAAAGCACTTTGATTTGTATTGTTGGATTATGACATTAATTTTATGAAAATGTAAAGCAGTTATAACAACAACACTTTAGGGATTGCTGCAGTAATCTAATGAAGGTATGCATAAATGATGTCACAATGTAACCGATGTGAGTATAAGGCAGGTTCTGGAATAGATATATGTTATTTCCCTAGGCATCGAAACATGTAGATCTCATTAAATTACTGCAGCAATCCCTAAAGTGTTGTTGTTATAACTGCTTTACATTTTATGTTTTTATCATAACAACCCTGCATACCCAAGGTATCCATTTTAGGTATTCTATCGTACTATAGATTTACCAGGTGTTGGTTCACTGTCGTTTGTAATTAGTAAATTTTATGAGTAGAACCTGATGCATTTTTTTGAAGTATTTGGAAATGAAAAGATATGTATTATATTACTTTAGTGTTAACACTGTAAGTGTGAATTTTGATTTGTCAGTAAATAGTTCCTTTAGTGAAGCTGTGTTTTGGAGGTTCATTGTTATCATCAATCTCGAAACTTTTTCAAATATCTTCTTCGCCATCACTGGGCCAGTTTAGGGTGTCCTATTTCAAATTTTGAACAGTTAAAAATTTCATTTAAGTTTCAGTTTTTATCTTTCTTTACAGATATTGAGTCAAAATGTAATCGATAATTGGAGAATGATAAGTTAGAAATCACATTATAGTTTGATGTTTTGATTACATTATAGTTTGATGATTTGGTTACCATTTTTGACCAAATTTTGCCCATTAACCTAAGAAAATATCATGAAGATAAAAGTCATATTCTTCATTCTCATTCATCCTATTCTGTCGTACAATTTGAGCTCTTTTTAAGGTCTCAACAGTATCTCTTTCATAGGAATCAGAGTGAATTCACACATACTCAGCAGGCATCATTAAGTAATTCAGTATTAACATTATTGTACAAATATTCAACTCATACATTTGAAAAGAGTATTTCTACATTTTATCTTATATGGGTACTAAGTTAGTTGAGTACGATTTTTTTTTTACATTGCAACCATGTTTCAAACTTGTAAAGGATTTGGTCCAGAACAGACATTATATTGTTATTACTGTTTAAATGATACTAGACTGTTGATGGATGTTTAGAAAAAACTTTATGATTGCTATCTAATTTGTACTGAAATTCTGAATAGCTGCATTTTTACAAACAGAGTCGTTTTTCAAAAGAAAACAAATAATATTTCAAAATTATGGAAAAGCATAGTTAGGTCTGACCAGTTGATTTGAAAAGCATAGTTAGGTCTGACCAGTTGATTTCCAGAAAAAAGCATTTAAAGTATTGGGAATTTTTTGGTAGGAAATATAGTAGAAAGACAAAAAATTGGAAAAAAATTATCAGATGTAGGATTTAAAAAAAATGATTTGAAATAAAGGGAATCCTGGGCAGTTATTATGGTCCCATCACAAAGTGGTCGTGGCCATATAGTTTTACCATTATCGATCATTCCGCAACCAACAGTTATACAGTCTTTTTTTTCTACTTATTGAGCTGATTTTAAGTATGTAAGTTCACTACAATAAGTTACAGACCAAGTTTATGTTTGGTTTCCACTCTGCTGATTTTTGCCGAAATTATGGGCTTTGGACTTTGCAAAATTTTGTGAAAATAAGAGTTATACAGACTTTTTTTCTAAATGCCTTCACATAATGACCTGATTTTTAGTATGTAAGTCTACTTTAATGAGTTACAGATTGAGTTTACCTCTTGTTCCTCTTCACTGGTTTGTGCTGAAATAACGGGCTTTGGACTTTGAAAATAACAGTTATACAGACTTTCATTCTCAAATTTCCACTCCTAAAAATGGCTTCAAGCTTTTTTTGCGAGCAGGGCCCTGCTGCATTTTTTTTTATACGACCGCATTATGCTATTAGTATTATGCTATGGCGATGTCTGCGTCGTTGTCTGAAGACTTTTGTTCACAGACAATAACTTGATTATAAGTGTATGGATCTCTAAGAAATTTTAGCACAAGGTTCCATACCACAATAGGACAGTTGGGATTGATTTTGGGGGTTACTGTCGTAGCGGTTTAGTAATTATTTAGTATTTGGAAAATAAAATTAATTTTGATTGTATCAGTAAATGGTTCCATAAGTGAAGATGTATTTTGCAGGTTCTGGAATAGATGTATGTTATTTCCAAATGTCTCAGATTTCTTCATTACTTATGTCTGGTTTTTACATGTTAAAAGGGTTAACCATTGTTGTCTTTTTTTTTATTCTTGTGATAATCATTAGAAACTTTGTTTTCCATATAACAATGCAATCACTGCTATTTTGAAAGGATATGTCTGCAATTTATAGAAAGCAAACTAGTCAACCCAATGTAAAATAGACATGCTTACTCACCACAGTTTTAATCAAACTAGTCACCCCAAGGTAAAAATGACATGCTTACTCACCACAGTTTTACTCAAATTTGTCACAAGAAAAGCTATTTTTATTTCTCTTTTTACAGTTTTAATTGACACTTATATCTAAACTACATGCACACGATGTTTGATTTCACTCTTTTTTTACCTATTACATATTTTATATTGTTTTATATTGAAGAAACATAACATTGAAGTAGAACTCATGATACAAAAATGCTCAACTTATTTTAAAAAATTTAAACCAGATGGTTTCTATTGAAATTACAGTTTTGATCAGATAAAGAGTGGTGCTCAGCTTTGATTGGCTATATCTTGATCAGTACATATGATATATCAAATGAAATCCAATCAGTTTTGGAAATATCCCAAGAGAGAATGGCTTTCACTTAAAAGAAAACTCTAATGAATTTATAAAATCTTTATAGATAACCTTTATTTACCAATTTGTAAAAAAGACCAGTAGATTGATTCTCTGAAGATGAATTCCTTTGGAGTTTTATTTATATATGTTTGTTTACTGAATCAGAAGATGAGAGTGATCTAAAATTTCTGTATTTATAATCAATGTTGGAAAATCACATGACATGTGCAATACAGTGTATTATTGTCAGATTTTGAAGTAAAACTATGTGTTATATTTTGTAAATGAACCAGTAAACATGACTGTGTATAGCCAGAATGAATTATGTACAACATTTAATAGCCAAAAAAAAAGTGTATCTTGCCAATTCTCTTTCATCACTCAAATTGATAGAATTTATTTAAAAAAAGTTTAATTGATTGTAGAATGTGACATTTTTATCTGGCTATATGTAGCAATGTACTAGTTCAGTCAGTTGGCATTCCGTCTTGTTGGATTATGAATTGTAGAATGTGACATTTTTGTTAGGCAATATGCAGTCATGTACTAGGTCAGTCAATTGGCATTCCGTCTTGTTAAATTATATGTTGACAAATAAAATTAAATTGTCAAATGTTTTCTTTGTTCTCAGTCAGTTTCTATTTTACATGTTTAGACTAAATGCATGTGTATGGATAGTCAGCAGATTCTGAATGGTTTGTGTTGAATTTGTCATTCCTACATAATGTTGTGTTGAATTTGTCATTCCTACTTAATTTTGTGTTTAGTTTGTCATTCCTACATAATTTTGTGTTAAGTTTGTCATTCCTACATAATGTTGTGTTTTATAGTTTCTGGGTGACAATGTGAATCCATGCCCATGCTCTTAATATTTCCATACCCATATGATATCTTATAGAAGGATAGATCAGGGAAATAGAGTGATTTTTTCTGTCCATCTGTTTATTTATCTTTTCATTTAATTTATATAGGTTAAAGTACATGTTCTGTCAACTCAAAACACCATCCATTAATTTATTATGACAGGTGTTCCCTGTGAAAGAGGACAAATGATGTTAGCTAGCTTTTTAAAACCATGTTACTTACTTTTATGCCCTGCCTATGATAATAGAGCACTATTATGTTTTCTGATCTGTTCATCTGTCCATGTGTCATTTGTCTGTCCTGCATCAGGGTAGAGTTTTTGGTTATGGTAGTTTACTATGAAGATGTGGTCACATTAACTTTAAACTTAGTGCACATTTTCGTTATGATGAAAACTTTTTTAAAATTTTAGGCCAAATTACGTTTTTTCCCTGATTGCACAGTTCACAGAACATAGATATATGATAGTGGATAGTACATTCTCAGGTTTTACCCTGATTACACAGTTCACTGAACATAGATAGTGGATAGTACATTCTCAGGTTTTTCCCTGATTACACAGTTCACAGAACATAGATAGTGGATAGTACATTCTCAGGTTTTACCCTGATTACACAGTTCACTGAACAAAGATATGTGATAGTACATTCTCAAGTTTTTACCCTGATAACAAAGTTCACTCGACATAGATATGTGATAGTACATTCTCAGGTTTTACCCTGATTACACAGTTCACTGAACATAGATATGTGATAGTGGATAGTACATTCTCAGGTTTTACCCTGATTACACAGTTCACTGAACATAGATATGTGATAGTGGATAGTACATTCTCAGGTTTTACCCTGATTGCACAGTTCACTGAACATAGATATGTGATAGTACATTCTCAGGTTTAACCCTGATTACATAGTTCACTGAACATAGATAGTGGATAGTACATTCTCAGGTTTTACCCTGATTACACAGTTCACTGAACATAGATATGTGATAGTACATTCTCAAGTTTTTACCCTGATTACACAGTTCACTGAACATAGATATGTGATAGTACATTCTCAGGTTTTACCCTGATAACACAGTTCATTGAACATAGATATGTGATAGAACATGCTCAGACTTTACCCTGATTACACAGTTCACTGAACATAGATATGTGATAGTACATTCTCAGGTTTTACCCTGATTACACAGTTCACTGAACATAGATATGTGATAGTGGATAGTACATTCTCAGGTTTTACCCTGATTACACAGTTCACTGAACATAGATAGTGGATAGTACATTCTCAGACTTTACCCTGATTACACAGTTCACTGAACATAGATAGTGGATAGTACATTCTCAGGTTTTACCCTGATTACACAGTTCACTGAACATAGATATGTGATAGTACATTCTCAAGTTTTTACCCTGATTACACAGTTCACTGAACATAGATATGTGATAGTACATTCTCAGGTTTTACCCTGATTGCACAGTTCACTGAACATAGATATGTGATTGTACATTCTCAGGTTTTACCCTGATTACACAGTTCACTGAACATAGATATGTGATAGTACATTCTCAGGTTTTACCCTGATTACACAGTTCACTGAACATAAATATGTGATAGTACATTCTCAAGTTTTTACCCTGATTACACAGTTCACTGAACATAGATATGTGATAGTACATTCTCAGGTTTTACCCTGATTGCACAGTTCACTGAACATAGATATGTGATAGTACATTCTCAGGTTTTACCCTGATTACACAGTTCACTGAACATAGATATGTGATAGTACATTCTCAGGTTTTACCCTGATTACACAGTTCACTGAACAAAGATATGTGATAGTACATTCTCAAGTTTTTACCCTGATAACAAAGTTCACTCGACATAGATATGTGATAGTACATTCTCAGGTTTTACCCTGATTACACAGTTCACTGAACATAGATATGTGATAGTGGATAGTACATTCTCAGGTTTTACCCTGATTACACAGTTCACTGAACATAGATATGTGATAGTGGATAGTACATTCTCAGGTTTTACCCTGATTGCACAGTTCACTGAACATAGATATGTGATAGTACATTCTCAGGTTTAACCCTGATTACATAGTTCACTGAACATAGATAGTGGATAGTACATTCTCAGGTTTTACCCTGATTACACAGTTCACTGAACATAGATATGTGATAGTACATTCTCAAGTTTTTACCCTGATTACACAGTTCACTGAACATAGATATGTGATAGTACATTCTCAGGTTTTACCCTGATAACACAGTTCATTGAACATAGATATGTGATAGAACATGCTCAGACTTTACCCTGATTACACAGTTCACTGAACATAGATATGTGATAGTACATTCTCAGGTTTTACCCTGATTACACAGTTCACTGAACATAGATATGTGATAGTGGATAGTACATTCTCAGGTTTTACCCTGATTACACAGTTCACTGAACATAGATAGTGGATAGTACATTCTCAGGTTTTACCCCGATTACACAGTTCACTGAACATAGATAGTGGATAGTACATTCTCAGGTTTTACCCTGATTACACAGTTCACTGAACATAGATAGTGGATAGTACATTCTCAGGTTTTACCCTGATTACACAGTTCACTGAACATAGATATGTGATAGTACATTCTCAAGTTTTTACCCTGATTACACAGTTCACTGAACATAGATATGTGATAGTACATTCTCAGGTTTTACCCTGATAACACAGTTCATTGAACATAGATATGTGATAGAACATGCTCAGACTTTACCCTGATTACACAGTTCACTGAACATAGATATGTGATAGTACATTCTCAGGTTTTACCCTGATTACACAGTTCACTGAACATAGATATGTGATAGTGGATAGTACATTCTCAGGTTTTACCCTGATTACACAGTTCACTGAACATAGATAGTGGATAGTACATTCTCAGACTTTACCCTGATTACACAGTTCACTGAACATAGATAGTGGATAGTACATTCTCAGGTTTTACCCTGATTACACAGTTCACTGAACATAGATATGTGATAGTACATTCTCAAGTTTTTACCCTGATTACACAGTTCACTGAACATAGATATGTGATAGTACATTCTCAGGTTTTACCCTGATTGCACAGTTCACTGAACATAGATATGTGATTGTACATTCTCAGGTTTTACCCTGATTACACAGTTCACTGAACATAGATATGTGATAGTACATTCTCAGGTTTTACCCTGATTACACAGTTCACTGAACATAAATATGTGATAGTACATTCTCAAGTTTTTACCCTGATTACACAGTTCACTGAACATAGATATGTGATAGTACATTCTCAGGTTTTACCCTGATTGCACAGTTCACTGAACATAGATATGTGATAGTACATTCTCAGGTTTTACCCTGATTACACAGTTCACTGAACATAGATATGTGATAGTACATTCTCAGGTTTTACCCTGATTACACAGTTCACTGAACAAAGATATGTGATAGTACATTCTCAAGTTTTTACCCTGATAACAAAGTTCACTCGACATAGATATGTGATAGTACATTCTCAGGTTTTACCCTGATTACACAGTTCACTGAACATAGATATGTGATAGTGGATAGTACATTCTCAGGTTTTACCCTGATTACACAGTTCACTGAACATAGATATGTGATAGTGGATAGTACATTCTCAGGTTTTACCCTGATTGCACAGTTCACTGAACATAGATATGTGATAGTACATTCTCAGGTTTAACCCTGATTACATAGTTCACTGAACATAGATAGTGGATAGTACATTCTCAGGTTTTACCCTGATTACACAGTTCACTGAACATAGATATGTGATAGTACATTCTCAAGTTTTTACCCTGATTACACAGTTCACTGAACATAGATATGTGATAGTACATTCTCAGGTTTTACCCTGATAACACAGTTCATTGAACATAGATATGTGATAGAACATGCTCAGACTTTACCCTGATTACACAGTTCACTGAACATAGATATGTGATAGTACATTCTCAGGTTTTACCCTGATTACACAGTTCACTGAACATAGATATGTGATAGTGGATAGTACATTCTCAGGTTTTACCCTGATTACACAGTTCACTGAACATAGATAGTGGATAGTACATTCTCAGGTTTTACCCCGATTACACAGTTCACTGAACATAGATAGTGGATAGTACATTCTCAGGTTTTACCCTGATTACACAGTTCACTGAACATAGATATGTGATAGTACATTCTCAAGTTTTTACCCTGATTACACAGTTCACTGAACATAGATATGTGATAGTACATTCTCAGGTTTTACCCTGATTGCACAGTTCACTGAACATAGATATGTGATTGTACATTCTCAGGTTTTACCCTGATTACACAGTTCACTGAACATAGATATGTGATAGTACATTCTCAAGTTTTTACCCTGATTACACAGTTCACTGAACATAGATATGTGATAGTACATTCTCAGGTTTTACCCTGATTGCACAGTTCACTGAACATAGATATGTGATTGTACATTCTCAGGTTTTACCCTGATTACACAGTTCACTGAACATAGATATGTGATAGTACATTCTCAGGTTTTACCCTGATTACACAGTTCACTGAACATAAATATGTGATAGTACATTCTCAAGTTTTTACCCTGATTACACAGTTCACTGAACATAGATATGTGATAGTACATTCTCAGGTTTTACCCTGATTGCACAGTTCACTGAACATAGATATG